TCGTTTATAATTTGTACAAACACATTGTGATATAAAAGGTCTGAGATCTTTGTGATGTTGCTCCTTGTGCTCTTTATTTCTCCTTTTTCACGTTTCGTACAAATTTAACAAGGTTTTGTCTGATTGGGTCATTTGTCCATGACTGAGTAAATTTGCATTTGAATGAATATTCCTACGATGTAGCTATGACGCTTACATTCAACAGTGAGGTTTATTAGCTATACAAACCCAGGCACCATGCTGTTTCTGCCTACTGTCCAGTGCTTATTAGACACTTTGGACCAAATGTCTTTTCGTGACCTTCGTTGTGTGCATCATTATAATGAATTTTGAAGCTTTTTTTTCTTTCCAAAATGTTGTTGTACTGTTCAAAGTTCTTTAAACAGCAGCTTGAAAGACTTGCCTGTAATCCACGGAAGTGTTTAAACTGAAATGACTCAGTAATTGAAGCTGCCCTGCGAAATGTTCTTTCCTGCATATACTTATGTATGAATGCAAAGCCTTTTGGTTTCGTAAGCTTTTGTTTTATTCATTCCAATGCTTTTTAAGCATAAATTAATAACATAAAATTCATTGCCAAAATGACCGATAATAATAATGTTGGTCTGTATGATTTCGAGAATTTGCATGTAGGCAATATTTACATACTATTATTGTATTTTATGTTTAAATATTAAACATGAACTTTGACTACGAAGTTTTAAGTTACATCTTATACAGATTTTTTTATTTAAAATGAAGTGCAAAATAATTTTACATGTGATTGTACAAAAAACTGTTTATTTGTTTTGTATAAATCGCCATTCCTGGGTTCAACTGCCTAAATATGTCTAATCAACATAATAGATACTTTATTCAATTGTTCTTACTAGTAAGGACTTGCCAAAATGTTAGACAAGCTCAATTCATTTTGCACATGCATAATTTATCATAAATTTAAATTTAGAAGAATATGAAAAATTTATGACGCTGGTGTTTTATTTAAAAGTGTTGATATCCACTAAAAACATAAAATATTTTGTTGCAATAGATGATAAAAGAATTGTTAGGTGTGTTTGTCCGTCTTTCGTAATGTTCCATTTAATAGGTAATCGACCAATTTTATTAGGCCCATTTCCTTTAGATGATCAGCTAACTCTTTCCGACTAAAGCTACACCTGTTGTTGATTATTATTAGTAATTCTACAGCCTTTTCTACTGAATCTGGAAATCTGAGGTTGTCGTCCCTTACGTTGTTCACCTCTTCCAACATTCCAGCAAGACGTCCAAGGCTTGGATATTCACCCCCTCTTTTTGCGAAAGTCTTTCGCTTTCAATGGCCGTGAGCCTCGTGCTATTTTAACTTGAATCGTCTGTAACAATAAATGTCAATAATAATAAAAAGAGCAATTTTCATTGAAATACTTCATGTTCGTGCTTTCTGATTAGCTGTTGTAATGATTGTTGTTACATTTTCTGTAAAGACATTAAGTTTCTCAACTTTTCCATTTGCATGATAATAACTGTTGGAGAAGTTAACGTCTTTATTAAATTAAACTCGCTTGTACTAATTATACAACCGAGTAAAAGAAAAAGGACTTCTCTTAATATGCCAATGCAACACGCGCTAATGCTACATGCAATGTAAGTTTCTTTTTAACTTGGTTACTTCTTTCTTTGACGATCGTAGATAGCAGCTTCTTTAATGGTTGTCAATCAAATTCTGAACGCTGTACATTATACAAATACTTACTTGTTTAATGAATTTAAAGAACTCTTCCCTTCCAAATATTCTTTAGAAGGACACATAGATTAAAAGCATACCCCGCAGCTGACGAATTAGACCTTCATTTAAGCGAGTTCTATAGAGAATAAAATTAATTCCTGCCAATTCCTTACCAATTTTTTGTGCAACATGCTGCAACATTATCATTTTCGGCGTGTTTCAATGTGGCTTTTCAACACGTTGTTCAGCTTCAAATTTTACCTCAATGGATGTTGTGGATATTTTTTTGAATGTTATATATAACACAAAAATTAGTGTTATGTTGAATCAAGAATCAACGTCAAGATGAATGGCTCTAGAAAGCACAATTTTGTTCAAAATGTTCATGTGTAAAAGGCATTCATCGAAAGCTCTCATCTTTTTCTAAAAAACGTACATTTACTTTTTTTATGATCGTCTTTCGATATTCTTTTGAAGATTATTCTGGTTGTCACAAAATATAAACGTTATATAGAACGACTAGAGTAAAAATTATAATTGCTAAAAGTTTCATGTTCATGATGAATTAGCTTGCGAGGAATTGGAATTAACAGACACTCTATAGTATGTATTATAAGCATGTCGATGATTGCACACACTTAATATTCGTGCATGATAATCATAATACACTGTTAATTTCAAGGAGTTACTTCAACTCCAAGGGGTAACACAACTACTTTTGGGGTAGTAAAAAAATAAGAGTTGTTTCAACCCCGAAATTGGAGTTAAATTAACCCAAATTGGAGTTACATGAACCTTTGAGTTGATATTTGGGGCAAATCGAACAGTGCAACGGAAGTCAACGGAATTGTTTGACTGTTTTGTAAATCTCAAAGCAATATGCATACAAAGCAAAATTTAATGCTTTTTATTGATTTCATTTTTTATTCTCTACATTAGAATTATAATATAAATTAACACCTTATGAAGAATAAACAGTTAGATCTCTTCATTGCGCAAGTCAGTGCTGTATATTAATGAATTAATGATTGCTGATAGCCGGTTTTGCGTCGCTATTGGTCAGAAAATGCAATTGCTACCATTATGGTAAATAAGAGATTCGTCATCCGAAAAATTCAATGGAATGGCTAACTGCTTGTTACCTTACCTTGCACCTGTGTGTGTAGTGTGCACTGCATTTTGGTAGTTTGTGAAGCGAACTTTGGCATTGCAGGGAGGCGGAGGCTCAATGTGTTATAAACAAGATCTTTTTTATCTTGATTGCGCTATATCAACAGGTATTATCAACATCTATTGTATAACAAATCATAAAAAGGGCTGTTGCTGGAGGCTGTCAGTTTTTATGCCGTGTTTGCTGTTTAAAAATCGTTTAAAAAAAGAATGCGAAAACATGGTCTGCGCTTTGACTTTGTCGAGAACAATTAGGATTTTAAAACAAACAAAACTTAATCTTTTTTCTACTTGAAGAAAAAAGCATTAATTAAACGAGAGATATAAGGACGGCAATTAATGATATGCTCACTCTAATGGCAGTTTTTGTTACTTGAGGCTTTATTAAAGAATTTATACAAAAGTGATCGGAGTGATCAAAATAGCACAAAATCATTTTTGCAAATATTTGCAAAATTCTTCCTTTCTGAAACTGAAATCACTACCTTACGTCACGATGCAAAAATGCGCCGCCATATTGAACAGTCCCACTCATAATAATAATCTGTAGTAAAGAAGCACGATAGCAATGAATTTTGGAGCGCATTGTACTAATTAACGCTAAAAAATCTTTCAACGTGAAACTGTTTTGTCAAAGCATCATAAGAGACGCTTCTCGCAATTTTTCATAGCAGAAATTAATATACTTTGTATGTCAACCTCGTGATGTAAGAGCGGCCAATCTACACTTCCGCCTTAAATTCAGTTAGCGATGCGCGCCATGTAATATACATATCAATGGCTGGTGCCCACGATTATTTTAATGATATGGATATAACATAATTGATAGATTTATAAGGCAAGCCTGCATGTAAAATATGTGATCAATAATGTCAATACAGAAGGTGACGAGCTGAACGATGTCTAATTAGATTTTTTTCTCAGACTTAAGAGTTCAGACAGCATGTGCATGGATTGAAATGTGAAGATCCTAAAATGCTCAGACATTATTACTATTTTACAATTAATATCAATGATTATCACTTGTTTAGTCTAATCGATTTAATATAGCATCGTTCTTGCAAATAAATACTTGCCAGAATTACAATCTTACTGTGCTTTATACTGTGCCTATAAATGAGCGTTATACCATGTATGTATTTAAAAAGTCTGCATTGAGGTTTAGTGCACCGGGCAGTCAACTGCCATTTTTTCTACCGTTACGTATCAAAGCAACTAATTTTTCGAAAACATACTAAAAATCAGTTGAATTGTTTCAAAAAGTAAAAAAAGTTTAAAAAAAGCCAGCAAAGTGTTTTATTTATTTATGTGCCCAACCGCCCCCAGTCTTGTAGCAACCGCACCCAGTCAAACAAAAAGCCTTCAAAGCTTCATCTAGTCAAAGGCAAACATAAGTATTGCTTTCTTTTCCATTTTGCAAAACACCATATCCTAAAGGCACGTTTACCCCTCTTCTTTTATCCTCAAAATACACGAGAACTCCCGAATCACCATGTCAAAGAAAGTCTTCGCTACTCTCCACCCTAAGAGCTTCTTTAAATAAGGTATGGCCATTGTACTTGAACCCATAGTGGATATCAACAAGTTGTCCTGTTTTGCTGCAACCGTTTTTTTTCATTTCGACACCTTTTCTTATTTTCCCGGGCAATCTAAGCCATGTTTTATTCCATTGACGAGGAATATCTACGTCCGAACGAGCTTTAGTGCAGTCGATAAACGGATTATTAGCATCATGTTTAACTTTTATGGCCATTATGTCATTTTCATCATTGTATCTGAAGTAAACTTGCTTACTAAGTCTAATTTCATTACCTTCAGGAGAAATATAGAAATATTCACTGCAATTGGTCAATCCAGCTTCTACTGCTTTAAGTGATTCATATACGTCGTCAGGTAAGTTAAACGTTTTTTTATATTCTTGACGATCGGAAATACATGCTACGTGGGCACAAGTCAAGGCGAAATGCTGTTTCTCTTTGCAGTAAAACATAGTCAATGTGCCATTTGAAGTCCGATGATTATCATAGACATCATTTTGTTCAGACGAAGTACGATGCTTTTGTTTAACTTTTATGTTCGATAAAAGTCGAAATTTTGGTTTCTCCATTAAATCTTCGATACGAAATTCAAAGTATTTAGAATCCTCTCTTCCAAATTCATTTTCAATACATCTAACTACATCTACTTTTTTTACATCGCTCGCGGTCACATAAAAAGAAGGCTTAGGAAGTCATTTAATTCAAATTCTCCATTCAACCACGAAAAACTATAAATAAAGATGAAAAAACAGAAAGAAAAGTAGAACTTACACCAAGATTTCACACGTCATAGTTTTTTTCCACAGAAATTCGATTTTTTTTTCCAAACTTCAGGACGGATCTTGCAGTTTTCATCAAGAAACTTTTTTTTGAAGTCAGCAATGTTTTCGTCTTCGTCTTCGCTTTCACTCGAATCGTCGGTCTCACACTCTTCTTGTATTTCCTTTTTCGTATCTGCAAAGTATAGTAATAACTGTAATATCATTTATAACGAAAATTATATATCTTATTTATTTTAGTATTGAATCACTCATATATAACTTAAAACTACGTTATAATTACTTCTGAAGGCAAAATTTAGTCTTTAAATGAAATTAGCCAGGCATAGCAGAATATATGAATGTGTCCCCCCCCCCCTTGTGCATATACGAATGACGCCAAAGATAGATTTTTTTAAAGCCTTTATTTCTAATTAGTGTTCCATCAGTATAAGTACATTCTGGAGTAGCCTAGAGTTGAAAGGTGGTTGGAAAACTAAAGTTTCTGTCATGGTTAGAATTCAATTTTCTGACACTACAACAGCCCATTCATTTTAAAAAATATCGTAGTTACTTTGTAAACGCAATATTCCCCAGTGGTTAATTTTCTTTCGCCTCTTGGGGAATATTTGCTCATTTGAATTGATTGTTCGGATTTGAACAATACGCTCTTTTCCATCACCTTTGTAAAAGCTCTTTTTCTTACTCGTGTTATAAAACCGCTGACAATTTGCCGTATTGTCGAAAAAACATGGATTTTAGTTTAAAAAAGTTGTTTTACCTAATGATGACACAAAAGGTTATCGCAAAAAATTTATGTTTGCTAAAAGTTTTTTTGAAAGTTTGCGAGGCGCGAATCAACACTCTTAAGGCTCTTTTCCACTCATCGCAAAACGTACTCGCAGCAAGTGCCTACGAGTTATTCGCAGCGAGCTGACAATGAATTGCAGCATAGTTAAATTATTTGAACAAATTTGTTGATCGCGTGAACAGTCTCGCAAGCTAGCAGCGAGAGCATTTTGCGATGAGTGGAAAAGAGTCTTTATATTGCCGATACTTTTGGATGCAAAAACAAAATCGACTTGAATTATATTTTGATTGAATGATGTATATCATATAGCTAAACGAGTGTCGCATTATCAAAATCCTGTTTTGCCGCCTGTGACCTAAAAAATACAAAAACTGTTTCTTTATAGCTAGATTAAAAAGTTTCACCAGCATTTGTTTGGGTATATTATTCAAGATCAAATTGCTATAGAACCATGGATAAATGTTTTAGACATTTAACTTCGTATCTTTCATTTCCACTCTTTATATTTCTTTGCAAGTGTATCTTTTACATTAGTCACAATGAATTTGATGTTTTTCCAGCATAACATTATGTTCCATGTCATTATACCACTTAAAAAAAGGTTTTAAAAACGCGAGACTTTTCACACTACCTGAAATTACCTAACTTCAGTGAAGGAGGGGGGACAATATTCATACATTCATGATTCTTCCGTTTTAATTTTCTTTTGAAATAAATTGTTTCTTACGGATTCAAAAATCGAATCTGTGAATATTATCCCCCTCACTTATCGAGCTGGCGACCCCCCTGAATAATATTCACGAGCTCTGCTATAACTTTCATGGCTTCGTATTATGCATTAATCTAATTGAACCAATTGAATCTACGAACCAAGAATCTTTGAAGACTTACCGACAACAGCAGTACTCTGCAATTTTTTATGAATGTCCAGAGCTTCTCCACAAAACTCTTGAGCTTTTAAATTTTGTCTAATTATTTCATACGGTCCTAGATCATAATGCTTTGCTTTGTGCCGGTTTTTGTCCCAACATTTTTCTCTTCTACGTTTAGTGCAGATTTCACAAATAGTTTGCCTTTTTGGGTCATTCTTCCATGAATGAGCAAATGTACAGTTTGGTGGGAAATCTTTTCCCGTGAGCAGAGTGTGACGATGACATTCAACAGATTTTTTAGCTCCTTGAACAACAGCTCCATGTTGTATTTTTCCTCCTTTTGATAGTTTGACTGGATGGAAAATAAGTTGATTTCCTTCTGGAGTACGGACTGTTTTTCGATATCGTGAATTTTTTTTAATATCTGCTAATCGATTTTCGGAAATGTTTGATGAAGAGCTGAATTCTGGCTTTGAATCATTTCCCTCCTGTGGTTGTACTGTACCGGAGGCTATATCTAAGATCGGTTTTGGACTTTGCTTTTTGGTCGCATTATTAGCATCTGAAATTTTGTGTCGAGTAGGGTAATGTTTTGGCCATGCTTTCTCCGACATCATGTCACCTTTCTGTGCACTATTTTGCTTCAGTTCAAATTGCTTTTGTAGTTCATCATACGTGTCTTTGACAATTGGATCATAAGCATATGGTCCAGTGATTGTAAATCCCAAGCAAAACCACAAATCATCTCGACTGATCTGTGGATATCTATCATTGTCAAATGGAATCTCGATGTCTCTATAAGTCAATACTCCCGGTTTGCTTTTCTTTCCTACTAATCGTTCGAGTTTATCATACACGGTTTTACTGCGCCAATATTGAGTGTCTCGGCTGCGAGTAATATCTGTGCTTTCTTCTTGGTTATGAATGACAACTTTGTCCGGTGAAATAATTGATCTCGCTCCAATACCTTTCCCCAACAGATATTCAGCCCCAGATCTTCGCAAACCTGTAATTCTTTGCTCGATTTTTATGCGACATTCACTTACTGACTTTTTCACTATGTTCACATCGGTTTTCAGTGAATTTTTTGGAGTAGGAAAATGAATCATATAATTAAACATATGTGCCCAAGATGATTTAGGGCACCTCTTGCACCATGATTGCACCATTTTTGATAAAGTGTCGATGTCGATGTCTTGTCGAATCGCTGCTTTAACAAATGTTAGCATTGCATTATGAGAGCTGCTTTCTTGTTGGACTTCGTCTTTAAGGAGGATATATATAATTTCAACATGCTGCGAAGTTAATCTTGCCCATGAACTAAAGGGATTTTCGTGATGTTTGTACAAAAGGTCGTAAACAATATCCTCGTTCAACACCGATCCTTGTTCAATGCTGGTTCGATCAAGATTTGTCAATTTGTAAAACTTTGTCCTTAACTTTTTTAGTCGAATTTGGGCATTTTCTAATTCCTTCATTTCATGTTTTTTGAATGAAAGCTTACGCTGAAACTTTATTTCACCGAAAAAGTCGTTGAAGGCTTGAACAGCGCTCTTTGTAAGGAAAATAAAATAGTCAAGGTTTTCTTCTTGTATCAAGTCTCTCAGCTGCTTGGGATGCTTATGAAATGTCAGGTACTCTCGATAACTTTCATCAGGACCATCATCATGATGCAAAAAATGAGGCAAGTTCTTGAACATCTCCACAACGACGACTATTGTGTGTATTTTCCCTATCATAGCATGTAAATAACTGTCGCGATTGCTTGTCTTTAATGTATCGTCGTACAGATCAATTCCTTTTCTTGTTGTATCAATTGCTTCCTCGATCAAAAACTTCAACTCGTCGGTTTCTGATAGTTTTCGTTTGACGTTTTCATGAAGGTATTTAAGCTGGCTTCTGTAAAATGTTGCTTTCGTAACAACATGATGAAGATATGACGGTTGCATTTTTATTGATTGATCTATTATTCTATGGGCAATATCAAACCCATTTCTTAGTAAGTTTTCTTGCAGTTTTACTATCTTATTCAAACGTTCTATAATGGGAAAAAGCTCTTCTGAAAGTGTGCTCATTCCAATTTCGTAGGCAAACATCCTGGAAATCTGTTGAAGTGTGCGTGCTTTTAGCTGGGTGGTTTCAACTGTTTCATTTAACATGATCAAAAGATCGAATGCATCACGCACGTTCTTGACCTCTTCGCTTGACAATACGTCCAAGATTAGTTGCGAGTACCTTGTCCTCACTTCTAATATGCCAACCAGTTCATCTTCACTGTTATCGCTGTCATTATCATCGAAAAGGCTTTCAGAAATTTTCTCACGTTGTAAGAAAACAGTTACGATGTCTTCCGTTAGATATTTGTTGACATATGTACTCTTATTCTTTATTTGCTCCATCAACTTTTTGGCAGTGTTGAAAAGATCAATTTTTTCACGTACAACCTCTCCCACTAGTGAGTGGGCTGGTCGCCATCCATAGTATCCCACTGATTCATTAAAATCTTCCAGTAAGAGTCCGCCAAACTGTTCATGAATTGTATCCATTTTTGAAGCTTTCAAACTAAGAATGACTTCGACGCATGGTTGAGGAAATATAGATCGGCGTTTGTTGTAATAGTCTAACAAACAGCAGAAATGTAGAATCATCCGATACGCTTCTTTCAGTTGATCCATCGACAATAGAATTTCATCAATGTGTTTTTCCAAACGTTTTTCTATGTCTGCATATTCGCGTCCAAATAATTCCAAACCAAGCCACATGAATCTTCCTTCGCGGTCGAGAACCTTCGCTGCCTTTGTTATGCGTTCATTCTGGAAAGTGCTCTCTAAGCTATTAAGAACCCCTAAAACTAGCCTTTTTTCAGTATCATCCAGCTTTCCCAGGAGAAAGTCGTCAACTTCAGTATTTGTTTGCTTGCCAACAGGCACAGTATTTAAAATAAGACATTTGGTTTTACTTGTCATCAGTTTGTCGCTTAAGCGGTGCACTTGCTGTTCGGAAAAGTTGTCAACAAATACTAAAACCGGTGGAATATGTAAAGGGTCGAAGTCAGAAGTTTCATATAGAAATTTTTGTAATTGAGTAATGTGATAATGTGTTGCGTCTGTGATCTTTTTCACAACAGCGCATCTGTAAGTGTCTCTTTTCTTCCATAAGATCTGCCGTCCAAGAGTTGTTGCTCCTGAACCAGATTCATATCGCATGGTCACTGTTTCGACAAAAAACTCATCGTCACTACTTCTACAAAAACTTTCAAGACTGGACAAATTTCGTAAATGTTCGTCGATACGACTGGACAGTTTAGTTTCTAGGGTTCGATCAATTGCATCACGATAAAAGAGATTTAACTGACTAATAGCGTTACCCATGTAAAAATTTTTCTTTGCCTTTTTAATCTCTTCTAAATTTTTACTCAACGGGGGGCGTGGAAGATAAATATCCAAATCAGTAAGTGACTTAATTCTTTTATTGAGCACTGGACGATGGTGACCATGTATATACGGTAGCTCAACTGTTGCATCGGGTTCTTCTAGTTCGTCTTCTCCAATTAGCTCCATAATTATGCTCTTAAGAACGTTCATTGGAACTCCAAAAACAGAGCATGGAGGTTTTATATCTTTATTAATGTCATCATCTAAAAGTTTTGTCAAGTTCGCCCTAAGTTCTTTCTTCTCAGATATGACACTGATATGCTTATGAGCATCATTTCCTTGAATAATGCTGAATGACGCCTCGATAATGCAAGCCATTTCTTTTAAATTCGTATCGCTCATCAACAGAAAAACACAATGCGGATGTCCCGTAGGGCAGTCACAAAAGGCTGACAACGCTTTGTACAACGAATCTTTGGAATATCGTGTCCAGTTTTTCTCATGAAACTCCTCACCACGGGTGATCCAAGTTGTATCAACTTTTAAGAGTTCTTCATTTTTTTTGGAATCACTGAAGTCATGTAGTTCTTTCTTTATTGGTTTTGCTCGATCATTTGTTTCATTTACAATAAAATAAAGGCCATCCTTCTCTGTTTTAATGTCAAACAGATCGAAGACCGCAAGCCAAGGTATCATTTTTAAAAATGCCAAAATGTTCGAGTCTCTGTATTCTTGTGGAACTTTGTTTGCTATCAGAATAAAACTATTTTCTTTGAAATTAAGATCTTTTAAACTATTTCTCACATTCGTACTGAGCACCTGAACATCTACCGATTTCATATTATCTGCAATCAAAATTTAGAATTGATCAAACATCAACACAATACAATACAATACAATACAATACAATAACACTAACAATACGATGTTACAATGTCGCCGTAAATTGCCTAGTGTTTTTATAAGTTTTTTTAACGCATGCTTTCAAGAATATTAGTGATTAAATATCCTGCATACTGAGAAACTTTCCGAGGCTTGAGTGGACGACTTATAATATTCACCGAACGTCAATCGGCATCGGCAATTAAGGAATATCTTTTGTTTTTCACGTGTTTAATGTTTGTTTCACCTAATATATGTAATAATTTTTACTTTTTTTATCGATTCATTTCATTTTTTCAGCATGTATTCATTACACGCGCGTGTGAAATTAGGCTGCGTTTACACTATACCGGTGTCACGGTCTGAACAATCTCCCAGTCTGAGTGGTCCCCTTTGATTATGTGTGCATGCACCGTAACTGCGGACTACTGAGCACATTGTTTGCTGGTCTCACCCGTCCCCCAGTCTCAGATGTCCCTATTTATGTATATACTCTTTATCTTTATTTCGTGGCTTTATACATTGTTGTTAGTTGTTGTAAGGCAATTTTAAATTGTCCTACTTTTTATTATTTTACTACTATAATTAAATAACTCACGATCCATATTTTCACTATAAGAACTCATTATGCGTATTCTATATATATCCACACAATAGATTTTCGCTTGGCGACGAACCATCCATTGCTGATTTTTTGTCAAACCATCTTGATGATTTCCATTCTTTAATTAGTGAATGATTCGCTCCCAATTATAGCATTGTGCTCTGCCAAACGCTGCTTTCTAAATTTTTTTCTTGATTCGACTTCGTTATTAGACCATTGAGTTCTGTAACTGGAGCGGCTATCTCTCACACTGCTTTAATTAGCGGCTGACGCCAAAAAATGGACGATTTGTTCCATTACCGCTGAGAATTACCGAAATTGACTGCTTTTCCGAAAATCTCACAATTTCTGTCTCCCCCCTTAAGAAAGAGTAAGGAAAAAGTATATGTGTTTTTCGCATATTTGGCAAGAATTTTATGATGAAAATCGCTGTAAAAACAAAAATTTCATAAAAGCGAGTCTACTGTGGTTGCCAGTTGTCGGGTTCTACGACTGATGCCTTTTTTAGCTATTGACAAACGAGCTATTTGTGGGCCACATATGAATGCAGATGTGCGGGTCGTACTGTCGTTTAACGATTTGCTCGATCAAAGTGTGTAGTCTGCACGAAACAAAATATATCATATTTTATCTCAGCGGATCACGATAGAAATGTTAGCTCATTTATTCTCATTAGTTTTTTGCTTTCTTTCATGTGATGGCCTTTTTCGCAACAATTGTAGGATTTGTTTTTGTACATGCATCTTGCGTTTCGTAAATGAATAATGAAAAAAGTATTGTATACAATATGTTTAAAACCAAATGAATTAAACACATTTATGTTCATTAATGCTAGAAACTTAACAACTATTCAGAAATTATAGAGTTATTAAACTGTACTACCTGTATTTCATTCATATTATGAAATGAGTTAAGAAGGAAAAACTTGGAAAAGTCAAATAAAGCCTGGATTAATAAAGCAGAAAATAAAGCAAATGGCAAAGTCCATTCTGTACTTTATTAGGTAAATAAGCTCAAAATACTTTTTCGGCAAACTGAAATTAAGAAGAAATATACAGCACTGAGGTTTTCATTACTGAATCTTTAATGCTTCAATATGGCATGCATTACATATAAGTAACATTCAAACAACATTCTACTAAAATAATTTAATAAAGATGTGACACGATTTTACAATTTAGTTATACAAAACACACTGCATGGATTGTACAGTTGCAATAAGTCATCATCAATCTCAGTATCAATATTGACATAAGCACAAACTTTATGATCTTTTTACATGACATTTCATCAAGCATCAAGACACACATAACCTTGTTATCTTTATTTGGTACTTGACCTTCACTTTCAAAGCATTCATAGCATCTTTACTAAATCCATTATCTTCATTCATAGAATTAGTCCAAGTTCAAATAACTGTTGGACTGGGAAGTCTGTAAATCATTTACCTTCGTTTGTATTCAGCCTTAGCATTTTGCAGTTAGACTCTGTCTAACTGCAAAATACAAACTTAGCATCTTCCAATTGTCTTAATATATTGATCTATGAAACAGTGGTACTGCAGCATATTTCAGAAACATTTTGCTATCTCTTCATGTTTTCAGTAAATTGATCAGAACAACTCTGCTCTACTTCATGGCTTCTCTTTGGGGGTGATCGTTTCTTCATAGCATATACCCACTGAGTAAAAAGAACAGAATCTTTTCGCGTCAGGGAAACTATTTTCCAAACAGATTTACGGTTTCGTACATTAAAAAATAAGTGGAAAAGTATGTTGATATTTAAAAACAAAAACAGGAAAACATCAGTCGGATTTTATCGCTCAGGCTTCAACTTCAAGTGCTTTTCAATTTTTGATGAACAAACAAAACAAATATCTCACTTGTGAAAGCGACATGTTCCTTTTTGTGAACATTACGATGTCCAACAATTGAATGATTGAAGTGTTGGCATTTTATAAGAAATGCCAAAAAAAGATATCGTGCTTGTTTTTTAAAAATGCTGTATAATTAGCTATAGACATCAGGAGGAGGTCGAGAATATAATTTTTCTGCAAAGCGATCATTTCAGTGGAAATAGGTCCATTGGCCGCCATTTTTTTGGAGTCAGGTCCAGTCCACTTAGCCGCTCCAGTTATTATGGACTCAATGTATTAGACTCTACATTTTCATTAATCGCCATTTTTTACATATGTTTGCAAAAGATAATTGTGAATTTGCGTATCGAGTAGATATGTTTATTGTTACAGTGAAGAAGCGACGGCCAATAAGGAAGAGGACTACTCAGACCACGAGAAAATATCGTGAGGCAGCACCGCTGAGTTGCACATGCGCGTTGTAAAAAAGGACACTTCCGACTGGGAGACCATTGAGAATGCCACACCTGATTGATATCGTAGCGGGTTGAATATTCTTTGTATTAATACGCAGTGAAATTGTTCAACGTCAAATAGACTAAATCTATCAATTTGATAAGCTTTTATTCCGAACAGTTAACCCTTTAAAGCAAATGAAGATGTCGTGATGAGCGAATCCGGTATAGTGTAAACGCAGCCTTAAGCTACCCTCTTCGCACATGTACGCTTCTCATACTTGTTTTTTGCAGCATAACATAGTGGCCAAATAGTACCCACAAAAACGATATGCAAAAACTTTTGAAATAAAAGCGACTGATTTTGAACCTATTTACAACACTATAAAAGGGGAACTTAAATAAACCGTCTGACGAGGACAAATTAGCAATGGTTTTAAAATGTTTTTGTCGATCGATATGTTTTTATAGTATTTCAGTTAGTTGAGGTGATTTGAGGATGAGGTTAGTTTCGCATTACATCAAGAATTATTCAGAACCCGGTCAGTGTTATCCGCTTCAGCTTCGCTTCGGAAGATAATATCGACTTCGATCTGAATGGTTTTTGATATCATGCTCAACCTCATCCAATAATTTTTTGTTTGCTTTTAAATTGTGAGCGCTAATTTTGCATATATATCACGATATTTTAGAAAACAGCTCTGATCTTTTATTGAGTGTTTTATCCTTACCATAAAGTCTTGAAATTAAACTACTCGTTTTGTTGTTTGTGATCTTTTCTTCTACAAAATGCGAAAATAGCTTTCTTAAAGGAAAGAAGTTAATTTTTTGGTTTGATAACCCTTTCATTTGCTAGAATGAGAAAGATGTTTCTACTTGTTAACACGTAAATTCTTACCTTTCCACTCATTATACTTCTTCGTTAGTGTATTTTTAACATGTCGGTTCACATCAGTCGCTTTAATAGGCTGTGACTTTCCTTGTGTCCTGATAACAACTTCCCATTTATTTTTTTCAATTCTGTACAAATCATCAAGTTGTATTGCTCCTGAATAGACAATACATACAAAGATTTATCAAACAATACATGTACGATATAATTTATCCTGACTTATGTACAAATGCAGCAAGTTGCAATGCATGTTTTTTACATTTTTGTGACCTGCAAAACAATGGTATACTGCAAAAGAATAGAAAATAGCCGACCAACTGACCGGCTTCCATCCACATCATTGAAGTTTCAAAATCTGCCTCATTTTGTGGCTATCAATTTGCCAAGCTACCCACGTTAATGTGCTGAGTACCTATTTTTAGTTTTGTAGCCTTTAATAATTTTGATACCGAGGACGAGTACTAATGGTTTAAACCTGGGGATATCGTTACATGTTTGTAGATGTAAATCGTCCAGATTGGTGGAGTCCCGAGAAAGCTTTGTCAACACCAAATTTAAGTCGTTCCCACAAATTTACTGCCTGGACAATATACATCTACAAACATGTAATTTTAGTCATGTTTTTATATATTTAGGTGTACTTCCAGTCGTGTGTTTATGATAAAAACTAGTTAAATAAATTTTTTTCTCGTTTTTGTCTCGCACACGAAGCGTATCAATCGCTTTTAAATATGTGATTTCAATACGTCACCAATTACCATGTATTCGTTTAGACTTTTGGGATATTGTCATTTCTTGCGCTTCTGAATTTGGGTTTCCAGCTCGTTCTGCAGCTTTTAATTTCTCTGTAGTGGATATTTTGGTGGATACTTGTTGGATTGAAAAACAAGCATTTTAATTATGTTTTGAATACATGAAATATATTAATTCTAGATACTTTTAATAAAAATCAATCAATAAATGTGGGCAATCAAAATACTTTTTTAGATTGTCTTGCCGCATAATTTTATCTCTTAATAGACGTCAAAAGAAAAATCATAATTTTGATAGCTATATAATAGTGCATTTGACATATATTATCCAATTAATATTCCTGCGCGAAATACCGTTTAGTAGTGGTTTAGTAGATATTCCTGAAGGAGATGTCTTTTGTTTGAACCATTGCTTGGTAAATTTAAGTGCGGCACCTTTTGAAATGTTCGAGTCCTATAATGAAAGAAAATATTCAAATTTATTGTTGAGCTATTAAATCACGATTTGTCGATAAAGCAACATGCCTGTAACTCGTCGCGCATTTCACTTTGCGTTTCTATACAGTTAAGGACTTCATCCTAAAAGAAACAATCTGCTTAAACAGGATTAATGACAAAATAGCTATCTTACAGAGATGTGAATTTTTATTCTTATCATCAACTCACACATTTATGTTATGTGATATTATGCTGCAACATGCAATGAGAACCACTGTTAGTATAAAGTATTTACATGCTGGCTTGTACGTCATAGCATGTTGCAATGTATGGATTGTTCATTGTGAATTTTTTGCATGGTTAATGTCTTGTAACAAATAAGGACATGCAACAGCCAAAAATCGTAATCTATTCTATTCCATTTAGTTTCTTTGCATGAAACTTTATACGATGATTCATATCTTACCGTATATTCATGATTCACGAAAATCTCATACAGATTCTCTTCGTTGATCGTTTCCAAGATTGTGGCTGCCCGCAAAAAACGTCTGTTATTGGGAGCAGTGCCCGACGCCATGTTCTGCGTTGTGTAGCTAGCTAAGTTGGCAGATGTCTTGAGCGACAATTTAAGCTGCGTTTCAAAATAAAAAAAATTTCCGTGGTCAGTTAGTCTTGCTATAGTATTAACTTTAAATTAAAGTAAATGGTTTGAACAGTATGGATTCGCCGCATGACTTAAACATTGTCTTTTAAAAATTATGATTAAATAAAGACACACTTGCCTTCACTAATCGTTATAATTTAACATTGAACATTCTAAAGTAAATGGTTTGAAATTGATGTTTTTAATGATGATCGTCCAGGTTAATAAAGTCTGAGAAGGATTTTGTTGTAGTTGATTGACGTTGACAACTAGCAGTATCATCTTCATAGTCAAAGAATGATTACTTTTTTGACTCTGAAGATGACTACCGCTAAGGTTATCGAAACGTCAGTCAACAACAACAAAAACAGTCCTTCTCAGGACTTTATTAACCTGGACGATCATCATTTACAAACATTGAACATTCTAGCAACATATAATTTCTAACAATGGCATCACAAAATCCACATCTTCTGCTCCTCCAGTCTGCTTGATTGCTGTGTATAATAGAGATATTAAGATTTTATAAATCCTAATAGGATTTATATTATGTTTAAGATTTTACCACGTGCTTCTCAACAATGCGAACGAAGTACAATTAAGTCAAATGCGCATGCGCAAGCGTCGTTCATTTTTTGCACACATATGACGTGGCGTTTTTACTTGTTTTGGAGGAGTCGTAGAGCGGAAGACCACTGTGAAGGTACTTTGTTATCATGATATCTTCTCCAGAGGTTCTCAACCCTCGCGCTTCTATGGCTTACCGAAACTTAACAAGAAACGAGAACCAGAACAATCACCTCCACTACGACCGATAGTTTCATCAATCAACGCATACAATTATAATTTAGCTAAGTATCTTAGTTCTCTACTAACACCACTCATACCAGATGACCACCCCACTAAAGATTCTTTCACTTTCCTCGACGATTTCTCATCTTTTAACTCATCAACTTCTTGTCACAAATTCTTCATCTCCTACAACGTGAAAGCCTATTTACTAACATACCACTTACTGAAACTATCAACCTAGCAATTGACCTAATATTCACTCACAACTCCAGGCTCCGTATAAATAGGACAGACCTCACACAACTGTTTTTAATAGCAACAGCACAGACGCATTTTTTATTTAATGGAAAATTTTATGACCAGACGGACGGTGTTGCGATGGGCTCTCCCTTAGCACCCATACTTGCTAACATTTTCATGGGCTCACATGAACGAAACTGGCTAAACAATTACAACGACACTAAACCAGTATTTTACCGCAGATACGTTGACGATATTTTTTGTGTTTTTACTAACGAAACTGAGGCCATGAAGTTTTATACTTAAATTAACACACAGCACGCAAACATTAGATTTTCATTTGAAACTGAACAACAAGATCAACTGCCATTTCTTGACATTTTACTAACAAAATCCTATGACAGCTGTACAACATCTACATATCACAAACCAACATACACAGGACTTCTGATGAACTTTTTTAATTTCACACCACTTTTATACAAAACCGGACTTATACGCACACTAATCGACAGAGCACACAAACTTAACAATACGAACAATGGCTTTCAACGAGACATAAAAAATTATCACATCCATTCTTTTACGAAATTCTTTCCCACTACACTTTATTAACAGAACCGTAAAACGATATCTCGAAAACAAACAAAGCAACAACCTCAAACTAGACACTAAAACTCCTGACACGACGATCACGACCAACACAAATGAAAATTCCAAAATAACAACTCTATACTTCAAACTAACATACATCGGACATTACTTACAATACACACAGAGCAGACTTACAAACATTATGAGACGCTTTTGTACAGATATTGACATTCGACTAATTTTCATATCATTCAAAATCAAAAACCTTTTCTCATTCAAAGACCCAATCCCTGATTCAATAAATCAATGGTGTTATATGAATTCAATTGCGCGAGATCTAATTCCCGATACATTGGCGAAACTTTGTGCCATTTATCTACCAGAATCAGGGAACATACCACAACAGACAAAAACTCTCATATCTACCGACACCTTCTTAAATCTCACTCATGTAAAACCAACTATTCACCCTCTTGCTTCATTCCCCCTTAAAATCAAAGAAGCACTCCACATTAACAAAACTAACCCTGACCTCAATTTTCAAGAACTAAATTCAATACAATATTTACTTTATAATACGCTCGGACGCTCCCCATTAATTTATCTTATTTCCTTATTATTGTTGTAATTTATGTATCATATTACTTTTATATAAACTTTCTATTATTTATTAATTCACTTATACTGAAGATGGCATCATGAGATGTCGAAACATGTCTATTTAAAAAAAACTCGTCGTGTATATTGAATGCGCATTTTTATTTTTGTTGTTCAATTGTAAAGATTCAACATATCGACCCTCATTGCTTATATACGTTTGCTGAATTTAATCAAGAATTATGTCAAGATGAAAGGTTTTAGTAAGTTGTGCCACCAATAAGAAACTCAAGCAATATATTTCAAATAAAATGCCGCTATATGATCATTTCATTCAGTCATAACATTTTTGTATAAAATGTTCATGTATATTTTCAAACATACATTCAACAAATGCTCTCACCTTTTCAATGAACGAACAAAACTTGTTTTCAGCTAAGAAAGTATATTTGTTCGCCTTTCAAGCTTCTTTTAAAGATCAGCAACAATTATATGATCTGATTGTTTCAAAATAAAAATATTTTAGAAGTTTCAAATTCATACTCCCCATGAAACAAATTGTCAGCCATGGAAACTGTATACTTTGTAATCACATCAATGTATGTTGTTTATCCTGCACACTTTTTACTATCGATGATTTTATTTTTGAGGTTTTCAGACTTAACATTCGTTTAAGGAAATAATCTTCGAGATAATCTTTTGCATCTTTTGAGCTGATATGAGACGAGTCAAACTGTGAACGGAATTTAAATAATTTGTTAAACATAGAATGTAATATAGCTATAAAGTAAAGATGCGCTTTATGATCTTAAATATTGATATCTACAACTTTCCCTCATTAGTTAACGAACTTGTTATTTATGAAAAATTTAGTTTAGCGATTAAAATGTATGGTCTTTTCTCCAGCGCTTCTCTATACTCAAATGTTTTATTTGAAAATCGATTGCACAGTTAGATTTAACGCTCCAATAATTTTAGCAATAATACAAACATTTTGACCAAAATGCTAAAAACAACGAATGCAAAACTTTTGACTGCTCATCATCTCAAGCAATATTCAAACAAGAATTTTATGTTTTTCATAATTTCAACATTTCTCCATGAGAATCAGCTATAAAGCAAATTAATGCAATATTAAAACATGTCGTCATCAGAAAAGCATTATTTGCATGAAACAAATATTAATAATTAAGATAGTTGCACACAATGATTGTGCAGATTGAATATATTTTTGTAATCAATAATATTACAAGATGTTTAATCTTAGATTTTTGTATAACAAAAAGTTGCCATTAATTGAGTGAGGAAGGTTAGCATATGAGTGTCACAAAATCCCAATGTCTTTGTCTTTAAACCTCTAGAGTAATAGAAACAAAAGTCTTGACGTTGGTGCTTATTTTACTTGTGTGAACCAGGCTTAACAGTTCATAGCAAGATTTTAGTTACTGATATTAAATAAAGATCGTATGTCGTGAAATAATCTTTGAAAGTCTAAGATGAAGACTTTACAAATTGCGCTCGCGCGCTATCAAAAAATGCTGGTCGTTGCACCAAAACTTTTACAACTTCTTTAAAGAGAGAACATAATCAAATTGCTGCAATTGACCATTCCATTTCCCGACCTGAGAAATGTATGTGTTTTCATTGCTTTTAGTCACTTCAGATGGATTCGTTTCCCATGCATTTTTGTCTAAAGATTTCAAGTGAGATATTTCAGAATTGTTTTGAATCGAGAATTGAGCTGAGGTCTGTCTGGTGTTCAGTGCATTGCTTATTATGTTTTTATCCACGGCACTTGCGATGTTGATTATGATATATGACAGGGACCTGGCTAACTTTTTGGGTGAAGTCAACAGAAAAGAATTAAGTTTGATTCCATATAAGGAAGTCAAAAAAGTTAGAATTTTATCATTTAGAAGTTCCATTTCATGGATACCTATTTAAAAATAGCTTAAAAGCTTATTCAGAAACAGTTTGAGTAATGATAGGTGCACCTTGTCCAAAGAATAGAAATATGATGTATTGACCCTAAATAACATAGTTTTATACCACGTCATGCAGTTGTTGCGAGATCTTACTCATAAAAGATGAAATATCTGCTCAAGATGGTCATACCATTAAAGCAAAAAGGGTCTTTATTCCTAAAGGAAGAAAACAAGATCTGATAAAAAGGGTTTACAATGCGTATCTTGTCGTGAACAAGCCCAATAGTGTCTTTGTAACGTGAAATGTCAATGGACATCAAGAACCTTGTGTCTGCTTGTACAATAGATAGATAGATAGATAGATAGATAGATAGATGATTTATTTCTTAAAACTGGCAGCCATATTGCTGAAATACGTTAAAGCTGAAGTACGAACGAAGTCTAATGAAAGAAATTCTTATGAGTCACAAAATATTGAGTTGATTGTGATAGTGCGTTGCAATCGATCTTATGCAGTTGAAGTAGAAGTTTGAATTCAAGTAAACACCAAAGAACAACCTTTCAAAATAAGGCTTTACTCAACACTAAATTAAAATCTACAAAATGTCTCTTTATAAGTAATTATCTTAAACTAGGCGCGGTTACTAAGGTGGGAGTACTTCATGTAATAATCACTACAATCACCCTCTCCTACTTGAAATAACTATATAATCTATACTAAATAATCTAAATAAGACTGGTCCTGCCCGATTGTCTTTTTTTTCTTTTAGTCCAATGTCATGTATATGTCAGGCGGTCGGGTTGTTTCTTTTCTCTCTGCGAGCGGCGTAACGGTAGTTTCTGTTGTGAAGACGACTGATCAGGTAGAGCGGGATCCTCTAGTAGTGAGTTCCCTTCTCTTTCCTTCTTTGGCGAACTATTATTTAGTTTCCTAGCGTCTTTTGTGGCCAAAGGAGATTGACATGGGTCGTCTACAGTATTATCTTTATAAGGCGATAGTGGTAGCGGTTTCTCGCATAACTTCTCTTTTTCCTCAGCTTGTGGAGCGAGGAACTTAGTGGCTACGGTATCTTCTCTTCCATCGGGAAATTTTACATGCGCATACTGAGGATTTGCTTCGATTAGCTCTACTTCATCGACAGATGGGTCATACTTAGATTGTTTTACTTGACACTTCAACAGTACCAGTCCAGGTTTGGATAGCCACGTTGGTATGGAAGTTCCACTCGTCGATCTTCGTTGGTGGATAAAGAGGCGTTCATGCGGTGTTATATTAGTAGCGGTGCACAACAGAGATCTGATGGAATGAAGAGCATCATGCAAAACTTCTTGCCAGCAGCTGGTCGGTAGTCCTCGCGTCTTCATCGCGAGGGAAATAGTCTTCCATAGAGTGCCGTTCAAACGTTCTACTTGGCCGTTCCCTTCTGGGTTATATGGTGTGGTTCGGCTTGACGAGATTCCTTTCTGGAGGAGAAAGTCTTTAACTTTTGCACTCATAAAGCCAGAACCTCTATCCGAATGTATGTAAGCAGGCATACCGAAAATCGAAAACAATTCGCAGAGACAATTTATAATTGACTCCGCGCTAACGTCTTTACAAGCGAGAGCAAAAGGAAATCTTGAATATTCATCTATTATAGTAAGAAGAAACTTATTATGATTACTCGTCGGCAATGGTCCTTTAAAGTCCAAACTAAGTCTCTCGAAGGGTTGAGTCGCTTTTACTAAATGGAAATTTTCTGTTTTGTAATATTGAGGCTTACTTTCCCTGCATATCTTGCAGGACTGTGTCATGAGCTTAATTTCATCCATAGAGAAAGGGAGATTACGGTTTTTTACAAAATGTGCCATCCGCGTTATTCCTGGGTGACACAAGGATTCATGAAGCTCTATCAGCTTATCGGAGGTCATGCTCATTGCTCTTATCTTAGAAAATGTATCCGCTGGTACATTCTCTTCTCCTGCTCTGTAGATTATAAAAAAATCATAAGTGGATAGTTCCATCCTCCATCTCATTATCTTATCGCTCTTAATTTTGCTCTTTTGCTTGGTATCAAACATGTAAGCTACTGACTTCTGATCAGTAATTAACATAAAATGCTTACCCGTAAGGTAGTGTCTCCACTTCCTCACGGCTTCTACGATAGCCGCTGCTTCTTTCTCCACTGAAGCGTGCTTAAGTTCTGATCCGCTTAACGTCCTCGAAAAGAACGCAACTGGGCGACCGTTTTGGTTGAGAGTGGCTGAAAGAGCAAACTCGGAAGCGTCTGTTTCCACCTGAAAGGGCTGTGCTTCGTCAACAGCTTGGACCACAGATTTTCGACATCGGACTTAAGTAGATTAAACGAAGTAAGAGCATCGCCTACCATTGGAAATACAGTATTCTGTGTCAGTGGTCTTACTTTTGCTGCAAAGTCTTTGATCCATTGAGAATAGTAGGAAAAGAGACCCACAATCCGTTTCTGTTCTTTTAAATCACGGGGGACAGGTAACTCTCGCAGAGGTCTCAATCGTGCCGGGTCCGGCTTTATTTCTCCATTAGCGATTATACTACCGAGGATGCAAATACTGGTTGTTGAGAAGGAGCATTTGTCTTGATTAAACGTCAAATTTCGCTTTCTAGCTGCTTGAAGGAACTTTTCGAGATTTATGTCATGCTGGGCTTGGTCCCGGCCACAAATCGTGATGTTGTCAAGATACACAAACGTGTCTTCTAGACATTCTTTAGCGATAAAGTTGTCCATCATTCTTTGGAAAGCTGCTGCTCCATTCGTTACTCCAAATGGTACTCGACGGAATTGGTACAAACGCTGGTTAGCTTCGAAAGCAGTATATTTCTTTTCTTCTTTTTGAATTGGGACTTGATGATACGCACTTTTCAAATCAACGGTGCTGAAAACTTTGTACTGAGCGATTTTAGAGACGATATCATCTATTCTAGGCAAAGGATAAGCATTCAGGTGTGTGAATCTATTTATAGTTTGCGAGTAGTCAATCACTAATCTTTTTTGTCGATCGTTTCTAGTTACGACCACTTGTGCTCTCACGGTGATTCACTCGGTTCAATTATACCTTCATCTAGAAGCCTTTGTACTTCAGTTGTAATAAATTCTTTGTCTTCTCGGCTATATTTCCTTGATTTAATAGCTATCGGTTTACAACCCTTTGTTAAATGTTGGAACAAAAGTGGGGGGTCTAGGTTCAAAGCTGTTAAACTGCAAAGTTTCAAAGGAGGGGCAGAACCACCGTACTGGATAGTGACACTTTCGTGCAGGGCTTGCCAAGTTTGCCCTAGAATAACATGAGTACACAGATTGGGCAGAATATATAGCTTAACCTGAGAAGACAACCGGCCTTTTAACGTTATATCACTAAGACAATATCCTTGCATTTTTGTGGAATAATTACATGTAGCCTTCGTAACTTTTTCTTTGGTCTGATGAACTGTCAATGAAAGTTGCTCAACCAAATCAGGATGTATGAAGCAATGAGTATTTCCTGAATCTACCAGAGCTGTAACAGTTCTTTCTTTTAAACGAATGTCAATACATGAACTTAGCAATGACTCCCCCATTGCAGCTAGAGTTATGTAAGCTGATTGAGTTAAATTAGAGACTACTGCTGAAGAACGGCAAACTCTTTGGTAGTGCCCCTTTTTTTTACATTGAGTAAATTGAAGTAGAAGTTTGAGTAAATTGAAGTAGAAGTTTGAATTCAAGTAAACACCACAGAACAACCTTCCAAAATAAGGCTTTACTCAACACTAAATTAAAATCTACAAAATGTCTCTTTATAAGTAATTATCTTAAACTAGGCGCGGTTACTAAGGTGGGAGTACTTCATGTAATAATCACTACAGCAGTACAGGAAGAGAAAAAACATAATTGTAAAATAGCCCGACTCAAATACGTCCCTGGCATTGTTGGACAAAAGAAATACGCAGCCTGCAACTTACAAGATAGTGTAGTTTTGCAATTTTTCATAGAATAACAACAGATCTGCTGTCGATGTCTGCAGAGTCGTTGATATCTAATATCAGTGATGATGATGTGATCGCCCGTCTCTAAAAGAAGGCGACTTAGTAAGAACTGTGCGGTGGAAACCTGGGAAGAGAGCAACTGGGCTCTGTGCAAAAACGTTTGGGCGAGGTATCACCTTGTGGCTTTCTTTGAAGGAGCAAAAACCATCTAAGGAAGATCACTCCACAACTGGCATTTTGATTTCATTTTGTTTGTAAGTTTTTGCAGGGGTGGTGCATTTTTTCTTCAGAAAGCTTGTCTAAGAGTATAAACTGAAGTAAAAGACTGACATTCCATGTTCCAAACGGCTGGCTGAGCTGTTATGCTCAATCAAGTTGTTTGATTTGGAATACAATAAAGACCAGATAGACTACCGAAAATTCTCTCTCCAAATGCAGACGTTAGTATGGTTATTACTGGTGGGGTACATTGTCTAGACATATTGTATAATTGGCTCACTGCTCTTCCATTTAGAGCGCTCTTGTGATTGGGTGAAGATTTTCAAAAGAAATATACACTGCTTTATGTTTACATGTTTAAGTTATTGCACAATTGATGACCGGTGGCAGATTATTTATGCAAGTTGCATATTGAGGTAAATGTTTATTTTCTGAGTCATATAAAAATAGAACACGCAATAAAAGATTAAAGCTGTTCTCCAAGTGTTATTTAAAACTTAGCCCTAAATCGTTGTCTGTGTATGCAGCAATAGCATCAAAATGACGTCATCACTCGTGTTAAAAGTTCAATCCGATTAGCGATAGTTGATTTGCATAATGGTCGTTTATACGTTAGACGCAGTTGCAAATTTACTACAATACTGTTTTCTATATAACAAGCAAATAACATTTTTTTTCTTTAAATAAACTATCATTTAATATATTATTTAATCATTTAATACAAAAAACATTTCGTAAAAAAATTAGGAAATTTTGTTCGTTTCCAATTTTCTTTCTTTCTGCATTGCACTGCATTCGAAATGTTTACCTGTTTGACTGTCTTTACAATGTTTACAATATTTTTACATTATACAAACATTATACAAAGTTTGTGAACTACATTTATTAAGTAAACATGCAGACTAAGATCACTTTGTACAAAATCTATAACAAATTTGAGGGTTTAAAAATGTGGAACATCTTTTTCCCGACGTCCTGTTCAGAAGTGTTAACATTCAATAGAAGTAAAAATGATTGAAAGTGAGAGTGTTATATTGAATTATCAAGTGTCTGTTCGGCTATCGCAATGTTCCACGTGATACTTCGTCAGCTAAGTTTTCTAGGCGCATTTCCTTCAAATGATTGGCCAGCTTTTTTCGACTAAAACTCGACTCGTTTATCATGTTGAGAATTTTTGCAGCTTTTGCGCTGGCTTTGGAAGTTGAACGTTGTTGTTCGTTACATTGTCAACCCCGTTCAGGTTGGCGAGGCGTCCAAGTTCGTCATATCTTCCCCCTATCTGTTTTGAAAGTCTATCAATTTCAGGTTGCGACAGACTTGTGCTATCCCAAAAGTATCTGAAAACATAACAACAGAAAAGAATTGCTAAAAGAGTGGTGATATCCAACAGTACGAATATGAGTGGTGGTGTTATAGGTCGAAATGAAGGGAATGGTGAAGCATTTATTCAAAGACAAAATTTCATTGTACTTAAAATTCATTGATGTCCAAGACAAAACATAAAAGTTGCTTTTGCTTGAATTTTACTTTTCAGCCTACAGTTACAATAACAAAGCATACGCAGGCACGGCGGCGTTGTTGGGCTAATATTAGGAGCTTTAGCAAGAGTACGACTACGACAACGAGTACGAAGTTTGACCGTGTAAGAGAATGGCACGAGGAAGTTTGTTGTCGTTATCGCTTGGTCAAAATTTTGCTTTAGTTGTAAACAACAGAACGAGCCTTTTTATTGTGTAAAACACCGACGTTTGCGAAGCAGCTACGGCTCTATCTGTCAATAATGATATGAATGAATCGGTAATACTGGTTTTTCGAGAATATAGGACTCTTTAGAATGAAAAATCTTCACTATTTTAAGTTTTATGTACGATATATTTGTACTATTTTATTGTTTGTTTACCTTTCGCTTTGCGTACAAAATGCATGAAAGTTTTGCAGGTCATATTTTCCTTTTTAATGTACATCAAGCGCTCAAAAAAGGTTCTAAATTAAAGCCTGGTTGCTCAAAAATAGTACTGCAAACTAATTTCTTACAGAATGAAAAAATATATCTATTTTCTTTGCTTAAAAAGAAATCGTAGTCGCGACTACGAATTTTTTAGAAAACATCGTACTCAAATTGATGACGGCTACGTGTTTTTGTTGTCGCAACAACGTTCTCGCGCCAAAATGACGTAGTTCGTACTCGTAGTCGTACCAGTGAACTCGACATTTGAATAACTGAAATGATAACCGAAGCCAAAAAAATATTTGTCGTCATCATTCGTCATCGCACGTCAGGCTCAAGTCTCTCGCATGTTCATTTAAATTTTTTTAAATCATTTGTCCCTTGGTAATGATAGAGTTCGGATCTTGATCAGAGCGTAAAAATAAAGAATTTTTTGGAATGAAAAGGTTCACGGAAAGTGAATCAAAGTGATAAATCGAGAAGCAAGGTGAGGTGAACTTAGTCGATCTGCTCTTACGCTGCGGTTTTCCTTTAAAACAAATCAAAGTCTTTAAGGATATTCAATTATTGATATCGAGATGACAACCATTTAGTATTTCAAGCACTATCAAAATCGATGAAAAATACAATCGCTCTGTAAAAAGTAAAAATGGGAGTTATAGACTCAATATTTTTTATGAAACTGGATATTCAAGTTTCTTTTTTCTTCGGAAAAACAGATCTTTAAATCCACTGAATTGACAAAAAAAAGACAAACATAGTCTGACACCGTTTGAAGATTTACCTTCCGATGTAAGAAAAATGTTTGCTTGAATACTTTCTCGTCATATTTTCTTATTGTATTGTCTTTTTAGCATACAGTGTAATTTTCAGTTGGCTTTTCCTAGTTTTAAGTTGTAAGTTACAACGAACTCACTGTAGTAAAGTTTCAGCTGTAAAAAATAACCTTTTGCGAAGAGTTGGCCTCGTGTGTTGTTTGTCGTGATGTTGTTTATATGTTTTATGCTTTTGCAATTTCTATTCAAATTTATATTGGCCGTGTATGTTTAGCACTCAGGGGAATGAAACTGACGTACAAACCGCGTGAATATTCGACTTTGAAGGACTGGAACTGACGTACAAACTGCGAAAGAGACTAGGACTTTGGCTTCAATTTTATATCTATAAAATGTATTGTCGTTATCATTCCATATATATATATATATATGGAGTTCACTGAGTCGTACTCGTAGTCTTTGCTAAAGCTCCCTATTCATACATGCACGTTCTACTTATTTAGGTTCTATTGAAGTCAATTAGGATGGCGGATTGTAACTTATGAATGTATGGATGTATAAGCCCCCTCCCCCAAGTATGAATCTGTAACCGTCCCAGAACCACTGTTGATAAAAAGTCTAAAAGTAGTGGTTAAAGGGGTATAACCATAAATATACCAATGTCAGGCAATCTGCTCTGTGTCATAAATTTAAATCACCTGTTTTCCCAGCGCCAAACGTTTCTTCTAAAAAAAATGAGAGATGTGTTGTAATTTAAATTTTATTTGCTACTAGGTTGGTACTAACTTCTGAATGGACAACATGTATAATGATTCAAAATTCAACATATGCATAATGTAACGTGACAACAACAATCAAACACACCTTCCTTATCAGCCCATTTCTGAAAATAATATACGTAATCTTCGCAAAACGTCCAGAGTCGTTCCACCTGAATTTCAACCACATAACGTTGAGTAAATTGCTGGCGATTTTTTACTGGAACAAAATGTATTTTAATACATTCCATATCACCACCCTTTGTCAGTTCACCATTATCACTTTTGATGTGATGATTCAACATTGACTGAAATGCTTTGCTGATTTCATCTTTTAAATCTTGGATTTCCAAACCAATGATTTGACCACGTTTATAACTGGTCGTTGGGTCATTTGTGTCACCAGTTCCAAAATATATTGTTCCTTTAGTTCCTGCGTTTAAAATTCCACAAATAAACACTCTTGCTTTTTCCATCATCCTCCATGGCAGTTTGCTTGTATTTTCTTTCGTAAGTGATACATACTCAACATTGTCCTCGCTGTCAGGAAGTATTTCTCCTTCTTGGTATGAAAAAAATTCACCTTTTACCTTGAATGATCGACGTGTACCTAACAGATAAAACATTTGAAAGTTATTAAAGCATTTTATAATCCGTACGCTGTAAGAATTAATGCTTATTGTAACCAAATACTAAAAATATGACCAAAATTTTGAATCGTGCATTAAAAGTGTAGAAATACAGACGCTTATTTGGTCGTGCTATGCAAATCTTCTTGTAATCACTCACTGCAAAACAATAGATTTCTTAAGAAATAAATTATGATGATGTTCTGAAATTTACGTAACATCACTAAAACCTGCAAGATGTCCTCAATCCTATATTTATCGGACACTGATTGTAAAATATTATCCTGGGGAGAAACGTTCCTTTGTTTTCAACACTTGAGGCAGTAGTAAAGTAAATGGTTTGAACCCGGAGTACCGTTACATGTTTGTAAATGATGATCGTCCAGATTAAAAAAGTCCTGAGAAGGACTGTTTTTGTTATTGTTGACTGACGTTTCGACAACCTTAGCGGTAGTCATCTTCAGAGTCAAATGAGGAGTAAACGTCAGGTTAGCCGTATTTGTAATCTGGTTCTTACGTCATTGTATTGTGTGTACAGGATGTCGAAACGTCAGTCAACAACAACAAAAACAGTCCTTCTCAGGACTTTATTAACCTGGACGATCTTCATTTACAAACATGTAGCTTGAGACAGTCAAAATTTCAATTACACTTCCACCACAGAAAAGCAGAGAGCACTGGGAAGTTGCATAAAACATAGACAGTGCCATCTAGTGACTATCAAAGGCTATTTTCTTCATGGAAATAGAATTTTGGTATCTTAGAAATTGGAATTGACATTTGATTCTGATGATTGCCCTGTTTACATTGCAGCGTGTTTTGCTTTCTAAGAGATTTCTCGTACAATCTAAAGAAATGCTATTCAATAAATAGGACAACCCTGGTTTCGTCCAAGCTGTCCGAAGGGTTTAAGTTATACCCCCAGGAAGTTGGGCATTTGTTCGCAAACTAGCCCCAGTACCCACACGCGCGGTTCTAATTCCTAAGGCGGGAAAATCGGCCATCTTGTAATCAAAATATCGAAGTCGTGAAGAAAGTTGTACAACAAGTCAACAAAATGATGTTCATATAATTCAAAAAGGATTTAAAACTTCCAAGTGCCGAGAATAACTAGAATGTAGAACCACGAGAATGTCGGTAAGAGTTGTGTACAATCTTATTGGTGCTATCCATAACAGGCATGCGAAATATATGTTGATCTGTTTATACAAAGTCGCAATGCACATTTGGACGTTTTATTTATTGTACTTTTTGCTATAGCTTAAAAATTCAGAAATAGCTGTTAAATGACGTTAAGAGTGACAAAGAACTTCTGAAATATTACATGATTAAAACCATTCTCGCTAGCTTTTCAACTTATGAATAATGGGATATAATGAAGTTAAAAAAACTACTAGGTAACTTTCTCAAAATATTTATAATAAAACACACAACATTTTCCTCAACAGGCTGACTTTCAAGTTTCAAATATTTTATCACGAAAAGATGCTAAATTCCAGATACTTGTGTGTGGAGAAACTTGCACACATTACAAAGGAAGGGGTCAGCATGAAGTATTTAACATATTTTTGTGAATTTTACTCTTCTAACTAGCCCCAAATATGATACATTATGTTAAATTAGGGGGTGATCAGCATGAACTATTCAATATATTTTTGGTGAGTTTTATTCGATGTACCTCTCTTCTATTCCCCTTCTTCAGACTATTTCCCAAAATAATACATTATGTTCAAATTATGGGCTGGGGGCTCATCAACATGAATCATACAATATTTTAACAAGTTATATTTTGTTTACCTCCGCCCTCCTTCTCCTTATTAATTCAAAAATTAGGTGATGAAAAATGATAAAATTAGTAATATAGGGCTTCATTCTAAGGCCAAGCATATTAATCACTGTTTCATAAAAAAAACTGGTGAAACGAGACTGCTCAAACCTCTTTGAACACACTAAGTAGCATGGCCAACCCATATATGTTAATATTTCTGCATTCATTTACTGCAAAAACAAGTTATTGAAGAAGCAAATGGTAATAATGCTCAGATATTTAAATGGCATGATTAAACAGGTTATTCCACTCTCTTAGATTTCAAGTCCTTGTCAATTTTTTTATCAGCACAATGACTGTGACAATAACTTATGCTGTATTGCATGAAATTCAGGAGATTGATGAGCATACTGAGAAGCAGGTTTTACAACATGAGATAAAAACTTTTAACACTACTTGTGAGTGGTTAAATTTAGTGGAAAATCACAGGGCACACAGTCACATCCCTAGAGCAAACACTCAAGTTTATATAGAACAATTGAAACTTTTCTTAAAAGGTACAATAATTTTTTGTGTGTGGACAAGTTAGTGTAAAGCAGGCTGAAGTGTTGAAATGGCCAAAGCAATGTGTGGTCCTTTTGAATTATAAAACATCAGACAGCACACAAGCATATTGTCTTCAGATAAGGATGTTCAAACGTCAGTCAACTGTAACATCTATAATCCTTTTGAGGGTCAGCATAAACAAGAACAACAAATTGACAAACAGAAACTGGGCTATTCGTTTCTCTAATCTCGAGTATCAACTATGAAGTGCTCGTGGAACAACATAATATAACATAATAAAGTAACTTGTCGAGATATTGCAAATACCAACCTGTTTTCTTCATTATCCAAGACGTCCATAAAATTGACGAATGTTGTGTTAATCAAAGAACGAAATGCTTTATCTGGTCTTACGTGTTTGAGAATTATTTAGAATATGTAGAGGATGTAGCTTGCCAGCGAAGCTAGCGATCGTGCGCAGTATCCTACTGCGCAGCCAGGACTTGGAAAAGATAAAGTGCTCAAGTCACAAGTGCATTGAAAACTCTAGAGTTGGGTTAAAGAGTTATTGCAGACTTGCAGTTGATGTTGACAACTGCCCAATAATAACCAACCACTCTTAGCATTATTTTTGACCGTGTTTGGCTTTACCATAGTGAAATAGACAATTTAATAAGGATATATGCGATGCTATTAATTACATTAAATATACTACACAGAAACGAAGAATGTAAATTGTTCTTCAGTATTTGAGTAGAAGTTTTGTGAAAGAATGAATCATATGTACAAAGTGTATATCTTTATATATTGTATGGTTCAAGTCTGGTTCAAAGATGAAATCAAATATTGCTTCCGCTGGTATTTGAAACATTATAGATCATAACAAATTAGTGATGACATCATAAAGTTGTAACCATTTCCTTCTGTAAGTTAGGATTCGTATACGCGTGTGGGCTATCCCTCGTTTGCGATTTGGAAATCAAACTCTGAAATTCTTCATGTTTGCACTTAACCTTAGTTGCTTTGTTCGAGGGTTGGATTATTACATGACCGTCTTCGATGTCGTTTTCGCTGTTAGAATTCCAGTCCAGCTTGGTTGCTGGTCGGTGTGTCCGTGTTAGGCTTTGTCTTTTGTCTTTTATATCCTCGACTGTAGTCATTGCAGAGAATGGCGTTGGTATCCACGATAGCCGTACGCCTTTTTGGTTTATTTGCGATGCGTTGTTCATTGCTATATGCCATCGTGTTTGTTCGTTCACGTTCTCGTAGGTGAATAGATGCGTTCCCTTCTTTGTCTTGAGCTTCAATAAGTGTTTCTTTCGCTTCCAATGGTCCCTGTGAAACAAATTGGCAATCGTAGGAATCCTTATGCTGGATCGAGCTTTATCGCAACTGCTTCCTGGTTGAATTTCTATCTGTCCTATAATATAGCTTTTCTTCTCGTCTTCGTAGAAGGTCAGCTGACGGCCGTACAGCACACACCAAAATGGTTGCCATTTATGATTTGGTTCACGCTTGAATATACGACCTTCATAATGACCCGCCGTGAGGTCCGAATAATTGGAAATTTCCTCGTTAGCCATGGAGAAGTTAGGCTGGTTGCCTTGTTTAGAACTGTACTATTGCACTCTCGTAGCTGTGTGTGTGTGTTAATCAGGTGAAATAAAAAGATTTCAGTTGTAATTTAATACGATGTTGATTTGGTCACGCGGTGATAAATCAAATAGATTCTTTCGATAAGAAGAGACAGTCTTCCCACTGCCAGTGTGATTCCCGCCACGCCACGCTGACTGAGCTAAGCTTCAACTCGAACTGTGTCCTTGACGTGTTTGTACGTATTATTTGTGTCGTGATTGAGATATAAAATTTGAACTCATTTCAAAAAGCACTCACGGTTCATTCGTTATTCATTGTCATATACACATCTGATTTGTTTCAAAGGCCAAACGTTTACCCTGACCACAGTATGTCTTTGTATATCAATTTAATACATTTGAAGACAATCCGCAGCTTAATTAATGGATATGCACAAAACAATCTCAATATTTGATCATCCTTGCCATGTTCACTATATACTTCGTGCCAATCGTTCAACAATCGAAATACACTGATTTCGGCATAAGCGGAAGCAGATGGCATGTCACACACGTAATGCAAACTTGTATCTCAAGTATGTCATAACAGTATACGTCAATCAACAAAACAAAGAATTCAAAATACCGTGAGAACATAAAGAAACGAAAGAAGTGTAATTTTCCATTGATGAAGTTGCCTATATTAATTATACTATATCGATATTTTCATTCATTATTTTGATACATCGTAAATCAGGTAAATCCTGTTCTGGTTTTGAAGCTACGTTTAGATAAGTCTTCTGTTGTAGTTTATAACTGGTGTATGTACTTTGCATAAATTTAACTTTTATTTCCAGAAAAATTCATTGAACTGTCTTATCTTATCTTATTGAAGAATAGAAGTACATAATTGAAGCCATTGCACGCCTTTAAAAGCCGGTGACCTAATGTAAAGATTACTCACATTTTTTTGTGCTAAATCATAGTTTAGTGCTCGCTGTGTTTAGACACTTCATCAGACTCAAGTATCTAAAGACATTTGCCTGCTAACGAATTTGCAATATTTTAAACCTCAAGTCGAAAACAAGGTCAAACATTACAAATATATTTTGATTAATTAATTCACTAGCGTTTCATGATTTCCGAATGTTTCCTTTCATCTAATGTTTGTTTGAATATGGATATACGACCACTATTTTCAACATGAAAGAATCTTTGTGTCCTTTAATGAATACGCTTGGCGTACGGTCGATGGATTTGTTTACTTTTAAAAGTGTCTTGTTCATTTTTCTCTTAGAGGGGAAGTCGACGGAAACTAGACACAAGGCTTGTTATAAAGTATAAAAGATCTCACGATCAATCTATCATTTATGTGAAATTTTTCTTTATGAAATAGATCATACTTTCATGTGTTCTATACGAATGTAAGTGTCGAGAATGACTTGGACCTTCTTGCTTCCATTACATGATTGAAACGTTTTCACTTTTTACAAGCCATAGTTAGCTCGTTCCCTTTGTAACCCGAAAAGTTAAATGATGACGTAATTTTTGTGATTGAGAGTGAACAGCAGCTGGCGAGTGTAGAAAATTCAATGAAGAATGATAGTTTCATTTTTTTAAACGTATACTTGCCCGTTAAACTAACTGTTTCATTTTCTCTAACATAAAGCAAAGTAAATTAATTTCATTAGCATGAACGAGTATGGTTCTGTTATTTGTTTTATTTTTTTCTTTTTAAGAGACGAAATAAATCTGTCTTGATACGAGCAAAATCAATTCAAGTAATTAACTGACGAAAACCCATTTCAAGGTATGTCATGTTTTGTATTGTGTCCTTCATCTGTTTCTCACGGATGTTTGTACAGTAAGTAATAAAAGCAAAATTCATTTTGTTAAGTTTAGTTTGAGTGATGCAACAATGTAATGTAGTGTATTTATTTATAAGCATAAAATATTTACAATTCTTAAAATGTTGCTTTCCCCGATACATATTACCTTTGCGATTACACTTTGTTTTCACACAATCATTTTATATACTATAATTAATAATACTAGTTAATTTTGAGCAAAATATTGTGGTTATATTATTCATGGTGTATCATGTTCATATATGTGTCTTCCGTAGTATTAAATTGTATTAATTTATATTGACGCTCAGCGCGTATCAATTTATATTGTCTCAGCTCAGCGCGTTAGGGTCAAATGGCTGTATCTGAATGTGAACAACTTAAATAACCTACCCTAAGCAGTTAAATGCAGTTATAGTTCTTCTTCAATTCATCCCTAACATTCAATAACATTATTTATGTTATGAAAAAGTGATGCAATTATCCATTATATGTGCATAGATAATTCATTATTAAAGAAGTTTGAATTCTTTGGAACAATGAGTTGTCCATTAGTTTCACCCTTCATTTAATGCATGTATCATTAATTAATGATACATCCTTTATAAAACAACACTGAGTGAAACATCTGTTCACGGTTTTTTTGTAGTCTTGCCAAAATAAGCGAATATTGTTCATGATTGTACATGAACATTATTGAAAACTACTTTAAAAATATGAATTTCACGCGCATGTCTTCCGAGTTCTTTAAATTTTGAATGGATAGAACTATAGTAATGCTGGAATATATTGAAGAGAGCATTTGCAAGATATGCTTGCAACATGTGCTGATTATATCCTTAATGAGTGAATTAGGACAATAAAGATAATCAAACCTGACCCTCACGCGACTTATAAAGGAGGATTAAAGAATAAAGTAGACTAGAGATGTCGTGGCTTTAGAGTTTTAGATTGCACATAAATCATAAAGTTCGCTTGGTGTTATTTCGAAAATCTCTTTTCGGCTCAAACGGTTCACCTAAACCAATGCTCGAGCCTCCGTTTTGTTTCCATCATAGCCGTGACTGCTACGCTTACAGGATCGTCTGGATAAATCCATTTGCCCCGTGCGCATGCTTGAGCCTGTTCGCGAGTCTTCACTAGATCGTCGACGTTTCAGATACCACGAAGAAATGCGTACGAAGACGAATCGAAATCCTGTGCGGAATTCGTACGACATGAAACTGAAGAGAATTGGATTCACATTGGTGCTAAATATTGCTGCGAGCACGGAGTAGTTCTTGATGGCTGGTAGATGCTAGAAAAGATGTGATAAAAGGATGAAGGTAAAAGTGGGATAATAGGAGATATCAATGGATAAATCAAACAGGTTTTAATGGCTGGTTACCTTAGGATTTCTCCATTTTTTATTAGTGCCCCTTTCTACAAATTCTATAATATTCCATGGAGACCAGCATACAAAGAAAGAAATCACGATGACGATAACAAGCAGGGACATTCGTTTCCTCGCTTTATACTGTTTCCGTTGGGTATCATTCTTGTCCGTGAGGATACCGAGCGGCTGCTTACGAAGAGTTATTGATATGAGAACGTACATGAAGGCCATGAGAGTTGCAGGGATGAAATACAGTGTCGTGTACACAAACATGTAGTAACTGCGAGATGCAATGGTACTCGACCAATTTTGATAACACATCGCATAGGTCGGAGATCTTTGCTTATACGTCATCACGGAGAGGAATGGGGCTGATATTAAGAAACTAAGTACCCATGTGCCAAGAATCAATGCCACGGTGCGTTTAGGATTAGCTCGGAAAGATAATGGATACCTCGTCGCCAGGAAACGCTCCACCGTTATGAGGATGAGATTCATGATGGAGAAAGTGTAGAAGGAACGAAAGATGAAGTAATATACACGACAAAATATCTCACCATATTTCCAGTTGTAGTTATCCAACAGCATGGATACGTGGAAAGGTGCCAATACAGCAAAGAGCAGATCGGAAAAAGCAAGATTTGCGAGCAAGTAATAGATTGTCGATCTCATGTTAGGATTGAGTATTATTGTTGCTATCACGAGACAATTACCAACAATACCAAAGACATCTATCATGGCAAAATTACTTTGTAAAGATCTATTGTGCCTTCAAAATGGTCGGCATACCCGATGAGTGGAAACGTTTGGTTCCTTAAAGAGCCATTAACCAATACTCGTTGTTCACCAAGGAGAGATGATGAATTATCAGAATTATTTGCCATCGCTGTTGACGTTAACACGTAGCTTTGATCTGAAATATTCATCACCGAAAGAAGCGTAAAGTTCTTTTTAATTTCAAATGTTTGACTGAGAATGTTAATGCGGCGAGACTTTCTTTGATTAATGGGATTTTGCAGAATATCTTGTTAATCCTTCACCAGTGGTGGAATACCTGTAATAGATGTTGCAAGTTTTAGACCTAATCAGTTCCGTCTTTGGGACACTATGTTAGTTATCTTTTTAAATATTTTTTGTATGGCTCAAGTCAGAGTATGCGTTTCATGGCACAGTCTTTGCGAGTGTTAAAAATTTTCGAAGATTTTCTCAGTTAAAATATAATCACCTCGAAAATTATATATGCACAATTCATCAAACCACACAGGCTTTATATCAAATACCGCTACTTGATCGTCTATACCTCAAAAGACAGCGAGAGCATCATAATACATCTTTGCTCTTATCTATTGTCTAAGTAGCTATCTATTCAGGTTTTTTCACGGGTTTCCCTCAATTCGTCGCTTAAAAATACTCGCCAGCTGCACAAAGTAACCTAAAAAACAAAAGCGAGAAAATCAAGAGAAGAATTGGTTTCTGTTTTTAGCTATAGAAGCGTAAAGCTGTCGTTGAATCACGATTGTATGTGAAAAAACACAATTCCTGTAGGTGCTAATTTTCTTAGCTAATTTCTAACTGTGATGATTCATTTCATAGTTTCAATCCTAAAGATGAATTAGACAATTCACACTTTTTTTACTCGCCTCCTCGTTTGCGGAGACTTTAGTATTGAAACACTCTAGATAAGAACGTGGCACGAACTTCTTTTTTTATCTTTGTCAAACGAATAGCCAAAGTTATGCCATAAATAGGTAATATTGCGATGTTTTCATCGTTTACTTTCGACACAATGAATTGTATACAAACTTAGCTGCTAACAAATACGTCTGCATGCTAAGTTCTACATATGTTGCGTATATGCTTAGTAATATTATACTTATACGTATGCAAATAGTGTTGAGCACTAGTGCCATAACTTTGTGCTTTTTATTAGCAACAATTTGTGGACGCTTCGTAAGACAATATTTACATGCGCGTGCAGGTGGATTTATGTTGAAACTTTTCTATTATATCAACAAAGACATATTCCGCTCGCATAATATTTGCCTACGCAAAGTGACATTGGTATTTTTGGTACTTTATGTACTTAGTATGTGTTATAGATCGGATGAGGATGCGCAGAACTATTCAAAACACTTTTGCGACGATTAGTTCATTTAGTAAAGAAAAAATCATTTGAATTTTGTGTTACCTTTGGCGATGTATTCTTCTGATGTCTGTCAAGGCGAATATTAGCTGTAAATTCAGGAACTGGAATTAAAGTATAAAGTTTAGCAAATACCAGACACCAAATTTTATTTGAATAATCTCTTGAAAGGATTTTCACAAGACTTTGTGCTTATGCATCCAACGCTTTCTGTATCCTAATGATTTGAATGCGCTAGCAAGGGCAGTTATAAAACATGATACCATGTTAAATAATTCACAACGATCCGCTGTTTTGATTGGTTTAGGTTAAGTAATTCCCAAGGTAATGTTGGTAATCAGTAGAAGCACAGCTGACAAACGAACGCTTTATTGCTCTACTTTTCAAAGTCATTTTTCTCACATTATGCGTAAACTATATTGCTTGTCTTAATTTGCCATCAAAAATGCTTCGTAATATGTCTGTAGCTTACACGAACATCGTCCAGATCATATGATGCTCAAATCTCATTCACTCACGCAGAAATCAATGCTTTTGTATCAACATGTGTTTTACCCTCCACTCCATAAATAGCGACTATCCTTATTACAATTACTGCAAAATTATATAAACATTATCCTAAAAGTACGTTGAAGGCGTGCCTAACAAGTACTGCCGAGTTTGCTATATAATTTTACTTGTATATCATTGCCAATATGATTTATCTCTAAAATGATTTCGTTTCAATGTGCGTGTCCAGGCGATAAGAAAATGCCCAAATGATATCTTGCTTGCACAATAAAACATACATTTCCTTTCGCTTTTGGACACGCGTGTGTCAAATAAAGGACTGACAACAGGATTGTTGTTGTGAAGTTGCACAATTTTTTCGTGGTTTTTAATTGGTTAACTCTTTGCAAACTCACATCAAGATCAATATTAAAATTAGAGGGTGACACTAATTACAAACAACGCATTTTTCTCAGTAGTCCTTAGATTATAAAATATAAACCACACAAAACAAACCTGAATAGCTGTAATCTACTTCCGCACAATCTAATTAATCTATAACTTTTAATAGTTAAGAAGTTCTTTAGAGAAATTTTTAGACGTTATAAGGGTGCATGAATCGAACCGTGTTGTTCCCAGAGTATTACATAGTTTTATTTGCTGAATAAGAAAAAAATGAACTCCAATGAATTGATTCTCCGTCTCTGAAAAGCGATAAAGTGATGTTTAATTATACATGAGAAAGCATGTTTCATGTGTGCGTGGTTGTTCACGAAAGCAAACAATTGTTTTATACATGTCTTGCTAATTTTTTTGTTATGATTTACGACACAAGATTATTTCCTATGTCTGAGCTACTTGTTGATAGATATAACCCTAACACATCATGTTCACATGCTTATTGCAGATCAAATTACCTCAGTTCAAATCACGATAAACGCGCATTCAACCTTACTCATCTTTTGTAGACTAAAGACGCTTCTTATTGGAAAATTTCTTGTATATATTTAACTTGCCTGTATAAGGATTCCCTCAATATGATCATAAATATTGAAAGCAACTTTTGATTAATCTTGAAATACTATGTTCAATATATGTACGTAGTATTTTGTTTGCATAAATGTCAATTAAAATACCTTGCAGTTATAATGATTTAAGAAGCTTTGAATATTAATCATTAAAGCGAAAATAACTCGTAGTATGCTCGTACTGATTGATTTAGGCCACCCTGTTTGGCCCCTTTTGTGCGAAAGATCTTTCTCGAAATAAATGTTCTTGCCATGCAGCAATTTTGTATTATTACTCCACAAAGCTTAATTTTCACATAACTTCGTAACATTTTTTTATTTTTTTTGCCTTACTCGAGGCATTAATCTCAGAAGTTTAATTTCACTTAATTTTATAAGACGTTTTTAAGATTTTTTCGAAATTATTGAGATGAAACACTTTTGTTGCATATGATAACCTGTTATTACGTGACTAAGCACACTTATGTAAGAATGACATATTGTTTCTTTATACATATACATAAGGTAAAAATACATATTCAAATTCTGGAAATGCAGCTCAAAAAAAGTTGGCATGTCCTCAACGTTTGAGTAGCACACCCTTAGTAATCTATGAAGAAATTTAGCAAACATTTTGCTTAAGTGCAATTATTACAGAGGGTTAATGCCTTACTTTAGGAAGGGAGAGGCATATTAGCTTACGTAGAGCAGCAATTCTAGAGTATTCTGCTGCATTGTATAGAGATTCGGTCAGTGCTGTAAAAAAATGTGTTGTAATAAGAATATTGTGTTTGGTATAAAAGTGTTATGATAGAGTATAACGATTGATAATAAGTAGTCTAACAACGTTACTAAACTTTGTATTTTTGAGTGAATATGAATTTTAGTCTTATTTTTTAAACAATGTAGTAACTTCATGCAAAACTTCTCAGCAATGTTTCTGACAAACGATTAAAATTTCATAGAATATATAGGGCTCCCAGCCCGGTATGTAAGTCGTGCGTACAGTTGTATCATAAAAATCTTTGAAAAAATCAAAAATGAATTATGCAGTACGAAGTTTTCAGTATTATCTCGTTTCAAAACATTCGATATCTCATTATTGATTAATTCTTAGTTTTTATAATTAGCATCCTTTACCGAAACAAACATAGTTTCATGAAAACGTTGTGAATCGCCAATTTGCCAATCAATTACTGATTAACAAGGTCACTTGTTCTACTGTATCTTTGTTGTTATTGGATAGATATCACTTAGTTTTCCAGAAGACAGTGTAAATAGTATCATATTTTATGTAGTTTATTATTTTGTTTGCTTCTCATCATTCTTGGAGGATTTATTTCTCAGAAAATATTTTAAATGTTCCTTTATATAGATACTTGTTTTAGTCATTTTCTAATTGATAGCTATAAGAATACTTTGAACTATGAACAGTATGCAGCAGGCCGTAAAATAATCTACTATAAATTGAGTAGAGTCGATTTTTTTATGCTAGTCATATAGCTATAAACAATTATATAATTAAATTAAACATGCAGAGTGTTGACGATTTTGGAAAAATCAAAACACAATTTCATTATTGTCAAAGTGCATGTGTCAATCGTTTTGTTTGGGCTTTTCCAAGGTCTGCAGTCAGTATATCTATATAAATAATATCATATCTCTAATCTCTTACATTTTCTTGCATTTATATCTCGCAATAAATCACATTAAGGTAGACTGTTTTTCTATTTGGTTGCTATAGTTTTTGAAAAATTTCCCCAATAAAAAAAGCATGCATCAAGACATATCACATAGATTAGATAAGAATCTTCCAATAACAATGGTTGCAATTTGTGCGGTTTTTCATGATGCTTATCTTTAAGATAACATCTCTTGTATTTTATGTTGTAAAATCGTCTCAGGTGTCCAGTGCCATATTTTATACCACAAAAAGTTTTCCCGAGATGACGTCGTTATTTAAACCGGCGTTAATCACTGATATGTACGAGGTATGTATATATATTAGACTGGATAATGCATCTGTTGTGAACATTGAAGTTAAAAGTTGGCTCATTAGCATACGTTTTGTCGGTCTTACTTTCCTATATTTGGCGATTTAAATGCTTTACAGGTCTTTCTTTCCATTTGATTGAATTTCTTTCTGTATTAGTTGTGTGTTAATGCAAAAGGCAACGTTAATAAACGTTATTGTAAAGCAAATGTGTAAATATATGAATGAGCCGACTTTGATATCTTCTGTTTGAGGAGTACTCGATCATTTCCGTATGTTAAGAATTGAAAAAACTATCATTGGAAAGCTAAAGAGCTCCTCTATTATGTTAGATAATGATATAAGTGTAAAACACAATATCAAATGCACGATAGCATATAAAAATTATACTCATGAATAACACTCAAACTTTTCATACATGTTATAGTATATCATCATTGCGTACATTTTTTATTTGCTCGACAAAATTTATCTAAATAAAAAGTTAAATATTTTATATCTCACATTATATTGCAGACACATATGAATTAATTATAGTTACGAATATATACATATTTAATAGGCATGCGTAAAATCGTTCTCCATGTGGAAATGTTGTTCGCCTGCGAACAAAACAGAAATAGATAGGAGTTGGCAGATTTTTCACAAGGCAAAATTCTCCGCTCATCAACATAATATATAAGTTATTCTGTTTTTCTTTTGTTTCTTCGTGAACCAATTTGCCTGATGAAGAGCGAGCTTAAAATAGAGGATCACGCATGCTCGTTTACTTTTATGCCCTCTATATTTTATAGTATATATATACGGTCTGTTGTAGTTATATATTCGCTTATACTTCATTACCTTTCTATTTTTCTAAAAGCTGTGTAAAGGGTATAATGATCTACAGCTATGGCAAAGACTTACATCTATTCATTATATTTGTCCAGTGAGAAATCGAGGATGAAAATCTGATTGATTTACACGTTATCTTTTGGAAAATTGCTCTGCTCTATTCTAATATATAGAAAGTTTATGCATAATGTTTTCCATGAGATTTCATGTACTTCAATTTTAAATTAAGAGATCCATGCTCTCTCTTTGGTTTTTTTGTCGGCTTTTTATGTGGTTCGTTAATGATTTGGCATATACCGCTTGTGGAATCTTTCTTCACACAGTCGATGTATTTTTCGATGTATTTTCTCAAAAAGGATAATGGCGCGTTTCCTTGCGATAAAAGCTGGTAATGAAAGTCTTTGAGGCTGAATTTTTCTCCCAGTTCTTGCTTTGTTTTCTCTCTTAGTTCCATGATGGTGAGTCGTCCAATCATATACGACGCAGCTTGACCAGGACAACTTTGATATCTCGTAACTTCTTTGACTGCAAAGTCACTGTCATCCCAGGCCATTTCTTTCAGTAACTTCAAAGCTTCATCCCTGTTTAATTGGACGTAAATGTTGATGAAAACCATAATATAAAAAGAACTAGTATGCAATGAGTGGAAGACAGATAAACCTGAATGGTTCGATTGTGTGACAGGGGTAGAGCACTGCGTTTTATTTGACAGCTACTACATGGTCACTGCATTTAGAGTTGACAAATGCAATAATTATGAGGTTAAACCTAGGCTCTCATTTCAACACAAGTGTAAAAAGAAACCTAGAGGAGATGGACAGAGACATTTCTGGCTACAGAAAGCTAAGGACGAAACTTCGTTGAAGACCAAGCAGATCTTAATGAAACAGCCTAATATCACACATGACAAAGTACAATGATAATAAATGCTTCTTAATAATGGAAATACAAGATGAGTTCAACGTAATGATGCTCCTCAAGTCTTAGATGGCTACTTGACGATTCCGATAACCTTCTGGTGCTAATACCTTTTCATTCCTCTGCTGTGTAATCCGGTGTCGATGATTAATCTTAAAGCTCGCCATATCTAGAAGTATTATGACAGTTATTATTATGTAAATGATTCTGCATTGTTTATAAACAGTTCCTTCTTTTAGTTGTTCATGGATATTATAAAGCTCGTCAAGTGCAAGAAAATCAAAACTTTGTGTCAGTTGAACAGCTGTTTTTACTTAATAATGGACTAACCTGCCACTTAAACATGCCGTATTTCTGTAGCGGATTATCCTTGTACAAGTCTGTATCATCCGACATGATTGGATTTTCACTATAAAGAGCCCAGCCTTCTGTGAATGCAGAATATGAACCGTCGCTTTGCTCGTCTAACCACGACGTCAATCCTTTACAACTGCCTTGGAAATACTCGAGCATTCCTATATGGAAAATATTAGTAAAGCATTTGATTTCTATGGAAACTTTACGAATGTTTAGAAAAACGGAGAACTTGTAATGATGACGCACAAAGGCGGAAGGCTGTGCCAACTCTCCCATCTAATTTTATGTGCTTGTGATTAAAAGAGTATGGCACGCATGACCGGAAAAACGTTTATGAAATGATAAGTCGGCTGGACTTATGTTTATCTCTAAAATTTATTTCGTGAAATGAACTCAGGAAGTAAACAAATGTTATTATGATGGTGCAATAATTAAAAGTCTAATACAACATCACGGTTTGCGTAAAATAACCTTGTATCTGGGAGTGATGTCCAGGTCTGGTTTCGTGTGCCACGATTGACCATTCTTGGTATTTTGGTCCGTAACGTTCCAAGAAAAATGGCAAAGAAAATTCGGTTGGAAAACTGCATTTCTCGTCGCTTTCTTGGAAGAACATTGTTCCTTGTGATGGATTGAAATGAGTATTGATCTCAATTGGACAATTTGGTAGCGTTGTGCGTTCTCCTACAAAAGCGTAATGATTTTTACGATAAAGCGATATGCGTTATGGATGTCTTGTTAAAATTTTCGGGGAGGGGGGAGGAAATCTTCCCAGCTTCTTTGGTAACTGAATTTGACTGAGAAGACGTTTACGGACACTTAGTTATCATTCGATGTTAAAACAAACGATGTTTATAAAGTTATCAGAAGTGTATAAAAATCTGAATAAAAGCAAGGCTTGCTTTATGTATTCCTCATAATTGAAACGCCATCGAAGAAAGATTGAACATGAAAAACTGATGTTTCTCCATGAATGTCTACGTTTCACAGAGAAGTTTTTCTTTCCCGCTACCTAAGAGGCTTTTTTCAAAATGGTGCCTTGGAGAAAAATTTGTGATCTATTTTCTCTATTTTGTGTTGATATGTAGCTACCTGTTATGTGAAATGCATAAATGAATTGTGGGTGCATTAGCGCCATTATTTCTCTGCATGATGCCATCCACTTTTTCAGGAATTTATATCGTACAGGACAGTACTTTTTTGCGGAGTCTATGTCAACACAAGTTTTATAGGCCTTTGCATTTGATTCGTTCTCTGGAAACTTCTGGTCGTTGTGCCATTGACTGTCATCATTGAGGATCTTCTTCAGGTTGATCACGGCTGTGGAGGTATTGCTGGTATTTGTTACCAGCTTTGCAGTACTCTCGATCTAAAATGGTGGAGTACTTCTTCCTCAAATTTATTCATTTTAATAAATCATAATATCTCATGCATGCGCCTCGACTAATCGATACCTTTTCTTCCCCGGTTTTATTTTTCAATTTGTTTGTTAGTTTTTACTGTATCATTGTAGATTTACCTCTTTGTAGAATGCGCTCTGTAGCTGCTTTCCTTTGTTGAAAATTTCTTCAGCACTAGCATTTTCAGTTGTGTAGAAAGAGAGAATTCGTTTATAGCTTTTCCTTCCATCGAGATATTCTCCTGTTGGCAACACTTTAGTTGTTTTCCTCTTCGTAGGTTTGCCATTCAAATAGACGTAGTCCAGAGGCAAACTTGCCAGGCCGCTGGACACACTACTTGGGACGCAATGCCGCACATGCTTGTATTCCAGAAAGTTTAAAAGATCCAGCACTGGTTTGCCAAATCCTTGCGAAAAGAAAATGAATCGCTGCTTTGTTAGGTTAGTGCTTTTACACATTTCAAACATCTTGCTTTAAACATACCTTCAACTAGTGCTTCCTTTATGGATGTCAAGGCTGTCTTCTTGTGATTTTTTATCCATAACTGCAAGTCACTCGCCGGAACGTAATCGAGAAATTCCGACTTTTGAAAAGGTTCCGTGTACCATTCATCGAGACATTTTTCTGGCTTGTTTGTCTTTGCAAGTTCTTTAAATACTTCTTTTAAAGCATCCACTCCGGCTTTACAGTCTTCTATTGATCTGACCATTCCAGCTTTTACTCCAAGTTGTATGTTTGTTCTGTCAAGAAAAGAAAACGTTTTATGAATATGCTAGTATCACATGAGTTGGGTATATCATTCTTATGTTATAATTCTTTAGGTCATTGTTACCATGTTTTTATTAATAAAAACTGCGTTTGTGTCAATTTTTCCTATGCGCATGCGCGTTACGTTCGTCCCGCATTTATTATTAACGAAAATATGTATAAGTAATATTTGCCTGCCGTTGGGCAGGTAACGTCCTTATCGGGGTCGAGCGTTGGTTCCGTGATCGAAAAGTGAGAGCTGCGTTGCTGGCACCCTAACTACAACACATGATCACCAACAACTAACATTTGTTCGGTGAAATTTTTGGAATATTGAAAACTTCCCTATGGAAGTTTTCCACATTTAGAAAGTTTCTACATTTAGAAGATTTCCACATTAGCGGTTTGTTAATGAATGTTGGCCTTATCATTATTTATAAAAGAATGAATTGGCTTCTTACCTGTACTGATTTATGCTGTTCTTATGTTTCATTATCATTGCTATGATATCTTCCAAGTCCTTGTAGGATGCAGGGCTTTTTAGTTGGCCGTAGGCATATAGTTGAATATTTATGCGACATATAGGTAGACGACAGAACAAATTTGGTCCCATCATCCATTCGCCGTTATAATAATGATCCTGAACTGTGCCAAAATTGTGCTGAAGGTAGTGCTTTAGCTGCAGCGAACAAAAATAATAAGATTAATGACCCAAATTTTCAATACAACGGGTGCATGTTGTTGATCGTCTAGGCTTGTGCAATCCTGAGTAAATTTGTTAGTGTTGGTGCTGACTGATTCAGCGTCAAGATCTCAACCCTGAAACTGATTACCGCAAACGCCAACAGTTTTCAGTTCTCAGGACAGTACAAATCTGGATGATGAACATTTACAAACATGTGACGATGCTCACGGGCTCAAGCCTATGATTTCATTACAAATGTTCGAACTAGCCATTAAAAATTTTGAAAAGTCTTTCACCTGTTCAAAAGTCCTTAGTTCTCTTGGTGTTAACTCGTCGATGTTTATAATTTTTTTCTTCAATTCAAGCAAAAGTCCATGCGATTGGTCAGTAATTTTCTTTAATTTATGAGGATGCGGGTCGTATGGACGGTATCTGTAAAGAAATTTGGCACTTAAATGATAGCTATGCGCCACATATTTTTGTGCTTATCGCATATCTGTGTGTTTCAATCCATAGTAAACTGTGAAACATGGAGTATGTCAAGGTATTTTGCCTTTGCATTTTTCAAATTATCACAGAAATTTCTCCGCTTCTTCCATGTACAGAATTTTTGAGTATCATATTTACCTGTAGTCCAGGCGGAAAAGCGTGCATAGAGGATACATGAAATGTTCAAGAAGTCAACTCTGTTGCTACCATCATCTTCTGGTATTATGTATCAAGGCAGATATATGCATGCTTTATGTGCTGATAAACTAAGGAATTTTTTGGGTTTCTTGAACGGAAATATTGTTAAAAAGGGAAAAAATAAAGTAAGCTGTCATTATTAACCATGCACTTGTGTGACGAATTCCTGTACGATAATTTCATCTACGCCTGTCATTCAGAGTAACGAGAAAATTTCCTAACATTATTTTTTATTCGTTCATATGCAGCCAACTATTTTATATTGCTTTTTACGAACGATAAAACACAATGGTGAAGTGTGAATTTTGGTCCATGCTAAGATTTGCATGAAGTCCATGCCAAAACTGCGTAATTTTTTTTTATTCAACGGTATTTTAGATTGGAATTCACATTAAACACATATGCTAGCACATTCTTCTCTTGTATGGTGCGGCTTTTATAACTGCACAACGGTATTCTTGATACTTGATCTCTTTATGAATGTGAAAATGTTTGATAAAACCTTGACAGAGTATGATAAAATATTTTCATTTTAATATCTAAATATGTATGTCAGGACGATCTCCTGAATTTATAAAAACATCAATTGTTTCATTTTATGTTTCGTACTTTTGTAATACTCTCTGCTAATAATCTTATTTTGTAAACAGTCTGATATTTCCTTGCCAATCCTACGTAAATTCCTTCCTGCATGGTAGCAGGCATTCATATGCAAATAGTTTCCTGTGAAATTTTATGATACAATGTACGAAGGTCAGCCACAAGAGTTGCGAGCTTTTGTATACGACATGCTGTTTACAAGTGCTTAAACCATTCTAAGTACTTGTTGTTACTATTGCCTGTGGCAGTAATTGCATTTGTTATTTTCTATTTCATACTTTATTGAAAATTTTACTGTTCTTTATTTCACTTGGCATATGAAATAAATGAATTCATTTTTATGTTTATGTACCTGCATGTACATGTTTATGTATACATACGCAATGTTATTTAATTCCTCAAAAAATTTTATGAGAGGCAAAAAAAAATTTCCTGGCACCGGCTTTCCTAAAGCCTTAATCCCTCCACCCACATCTTTTGAAGGGCCCAATACAAACAAAGACAAACCTAAAAAACTTCTTCAATTAATAAATTGATGTTAAAGAACCTTTGTTTTCTAGATTGGTTCTAAGTAACGTTTTAGAGTTTGGTAAATTTGCTAACGGTAGCTACTTGATTGATTCACTGCTTAATTGCTTCTGTACGTGTCGCAATTACGTAAAGGTTTCAGTTCGTAGTGAAACCAATTTCTGAGATAAGATACCGAGCTATTGAAAAACCACATTTTATCATACGCATGAATTTACTTAGTAAAATTTCAATGTCATTATATTGAATGAAGCCAAGTTTTCATCTATCATACGTTACACACCTGATCCTGATTTACATCGGTAATGTGACAATGACATAGATAGCTTGCACTTAAGTCACATTAAATATGGATACAAATATAACAAACTACTTAAAACTATTGGCTTTCAAGTTTTTGTGCTCTCCAAAAGTAAATCGCCGCGATGTCTATCGCGTTTTTTATAGCTGAGATATCCCTAGTTCGTGCGTGATTTTTTATGAAACGAATTTGCGTCTGTTTTTGCCTATTAGCCTAGTAAGTAAAATAGTTTGCATCGATGATCATTCTTTACGTATGTCCATAATACATAGCGCGCAATATGAATATCTAAAAATTTGACATGTTGTAATTTAGAATGTTATGATGCTCTCTGGTTTCATGATCGTGGAGTGCCTTTTCACTTCGTTCTTCTCTTATCTTTTGAGTGTGAAGGTAAGAAGTTTTATGTCATGAAGCTGATTTGTTGTGCGCGTGCGCGGTATATATATGTGAGAACATGAACATTTTAAAAGAAGTTGAACTTTTACGCAAAACGAGCGCTCGTTCTTTTTGACATTCGTGGCTTTAAGTTCCGGCGATAATGAGCCATCAGTTGAGACAGGAATTTATCCAATTAGGACATTTTTTCGATAAACTTTTTGTCGTAGCTAGTAATCAATATAGATCAAGATCGTAATCGCTATGCAATATTCTTCTCTCGGTATACTTATCGTAGATTGATGTCAAAAATTGCGATAACCATCAAAAATGTCCGCTAATTACGTTCGCATGTTGAAATTAAAACCTTCCCTCCTTTCACTAAAAATATCATTATTTAGTGGAAGGATATTTCTTCATCGTAAATTCCATCTAGAAAATTGCTAAAATGTTCATTGTCTACCTGGAAATTCGATGTTTAAAGTTTTTTTCAATGCTACTACATTCGGTGGTATTGAAAGAAAAAACCAGTAGCTACAGTTTTATCCTCAGTAGTCGAAACATATATACTAAACATATTTAATTATGCTTCGTGTACTATTATGCTACATGGACGTCTCTATCACTTGATCGTAAATGCTCAAATGTTTTAAATAGTTTGTCGCTGTAGTTATTTTAAGCTGAGTGGTTGAAACATTTATACATATGCTAAACATATGTTGTTATGCTTCGAGTGTTACTTACCATTGTGCTGCATGGATGTACCTATCACTTGATCATAAATGTACGAAATGGTTTAAATGGTTTGCCGCTGTAGTTATTTTTAACGCAAATTTTAGTATTACTTTTAAAAGCCATCAGATTAGCATCAGTATTGGATGGCTTTCCTAAATGGGAGAACAACATGTTACCATGAGAGAATAACATGTTGTTGAACATGTAAACAGCTTTGCTTCGTCAAATCACTTAAGCTGATTTGCAACAGCCTGTTTGAAAATATTGTTAGTAAAAGCTTTTTGTGATCTATGACGACATTATAGCTCGATGTCGGTCAGTAATGAATAGGACTCACGCTGATAGTGGTAATTAGCGGACCCTTAAATAACGACTCTATGTTCTTGTAGCAATCCAAGTTTTCTACGTGAGATGCAATTAAAAATGTCCGCGACGTATAATATATGAAGCACAAAATACATAATCTTTTTCAAACAGAGCCGTTAAAGTGTCTGATGTGCGTTATTGCGTTCATTATTGTAGTATGGCTGGTTTGACCGTTTGGGGAGAAATTGGTGCAAAGTAATTTGTGACTTATCTGTAACAGCAATAGAATTTCTTATGGTAACATATAAGAGCTGGCGATTAGATGCTTATGCTTTCTTTTCATAGTGAAAACGAACAAACAAACATACTATAGGTACTGTGATACTGCAAACATTGTAGGTTGTCGGCTTTTCCTTAAGTATTACAAAATGTGGTGTGAAAATTTCAGTTGAATCCACAGTATTTTTGCCATTTTCCTAAATGGACAATTGGTTCTTCTGCCATACAAATTTTGGTTGAAGCAGAAATTTATACACTCACGCAAATCATCAAATTTTGCAGCAAATTGTACTTAACTATATGCACTACATGTAATATCTAATATTATTTAGTTAATGACGTTATTCGGTTAATTGGGAAACCGTCATCCGCCTTTGATAAGACTGTTGAAAAATTTTCAAATATTAATTCCTCTCACCTTTTAAGCATATTTATTCGCAACTCTTCTTCAGAAGCTTGATTATCCCATGCGAACATATCGGGATGAAGCTTGTAATAGGTTTTATGAATTTTCTCAAGGAACTCTGGCAGTTTGACTCGTTTGGCTTCGATGGAATACTCGCACAACGAATCTGACGTTGAGGTGCAAGTTGTCGGCTTTCCCAAATCTTTATTTAACTTCATCGCGTACATTCCTAATATCACGCAAATTATCCCGCCAAGCAAGACGAGCATTCCGCCCATAAGATAAAGCTTTCTTCGACTTGATCGCTCATTTTGTCGTCGGGCTTTTCTTGTTATTACAACCGTGTTTTGCACCCCTCTCATTTCGTCCTTTTGTTGAGCCATTTAGTATTTTCACGATTAAGATTTGTTGTACGTTTTCAGACTTTTCAAATTTAATTTTTTCCTCCTTTCAAAGACTTAACACCTTCTAGGTTACTGTTCTGCAAGAACCTCTCGAGATGCGCGCTTCATGCTAATGTGCAGTTGTGTAAATGTGCCACCTTATATACTCATTGACCGTAGTTTCTTCGCCACCTTTCGTGAAGTAACGTCCATGGTTCGTCCATGGAAAACTCAGATAAATATCTTACAGTCCGCATCATCTTTTTTGACGGTAAACATATGTTATGCAGTATAAAGCTTATCAGCATGCAGAAACCTTATGACAGCAATTTGATTCGTCTAATTTGAGGATGTCATTTGCAACTGATGCGTACGTATAACGTTGAGACAAAAAACGTGTACAATTTGGCAGTGTTTCACTTGAACGTAGGAATGTCTTCTCCTTGTTTTTCTTTATTGCTTGAGGAAGCTTTTCCACTTGAAAGCAAGTGGCCGACTAGGTTATCGTTTATCTCAAATTGCTGCCATCCCCAAAAACATCCTTCGTTATGGCTCTCATCTATGAGGTTATTTGTCTAACAATGACGTAATTGTTTCTCCCAATATGATGTTGATATGTTTCCAGATAAAGCACTTTGACGCTTGCACAGAAAATCCATTTGTTATTGCAACTTTTATAAGAGATTAGTTTTCGATATATAAAAGCATTACCTTTTTTTTTGAGGATTACTCTGTAATTTTTTACTTTCATTTAAAATGAACTAGATTGCCAAGGGCGCAATCGGAAAACTAAGGGTTTCTACGTAATGGGACAGACTTATGCAGTGCCATTATTTAATACAAAAACTCACAATTTCGCAAGGCCGACTTTTTTGTCATCTACCAGTTTTTGGACCAACGTTTTGTAATTAATTCACAAAAGCTAGGAGATATCATCCCACCAGCCCCACCCTTTAACTTCTTCCTAATATACATCCCTGAAAACTTTTCTATGCAGTCGTTAGTAAATGTATGTACGAAAAGATAAAATAACTTTTTGAAGATGTCATTCCATTGGAGTGGTTCATTGCTGTTCATGTTTATGGGATAGTTGTAGCAGTGGGCCTCACTTCTTGCTGAAATTCTTAGCGCGCAAAATATTCATAAAATTTGGCAGAAAAAGACGGCTGAGTGCAATATGTTGTTATCTTGTTATTTTTTCACATTGGTTGTAATTCTTGTCTGTGCAGCATATGTGCTGCAATGTCATTTTTTTTATAATTATACATCTGTGTAATTAAACAGCAATTTTTCCTTTTGTGGTCAAATGAAGTAACCTTTTATTCTAACCAAAGTATTTAATCATTTTTGATCGAAAACTCTGCGATTGAAAACTCTATGATTTGGCGTTTTTGGGCGATCACAGTATTTCAGTCCTCCACTCAGAATCATTGTTTTGAAACTTGTAGTTCTTTGGTAATTCAAAGTGTCCGATTTCTGGACCAGATTGGGAAAAAGTGGGCGAAGAACTTTCCTGTCTTTTCTAAAGTGGCTTTATTGACACTTCAATATTGTTATCTTGCATTATTCTCACTGTATCATATCTATATCTCTGTGCGAAAACAGTTATTGACGGTTGTGGTAAATGCGATTCTCTAGAATTTAAACGGAATCGATTTTTTTGTTTTCCAAAAGAATGGGGAAGAACGCCTTTTGCGTACTTTGATAAGACCAGCAATTTGTCGTATTTCAACATAGGTGTAATGTTTCCATGTCAAAAGCTTGTTGACCCTCCATTTTTGCCAGAAAATTAACAAAAAAGCTTCTTGTTTGGTTTTGGTCATGGATGACGATTTCTCAGCTATTTTCATCTCACTTTTGCCTATGAAATAATCATTCACCACTTGAAGTCTCTTTTCCATTCTCCGGCACGTTGTTTTTCAGTGGATGAAGTGTAATTTAAATTGACTGACAAGCCTTTAGATATATATCTTGATATCAGAGATCAAGTGAACTCCTCCCTTTGATATGAATGTTCAATTTTCTGCCACCAATTACTCATGATCACTCATGATGGATGGTACATAGACATTGCGGTGCTCTCACAGTGCTTCTAATTTAATTTGTCTCTTTACTGAAGTATGCATATCTTTGTACTTTTTCATCTACTGTACATGTACTTGTGAGAACGTTACGTATATTTTCTCGTTAAATTTGACGCCATTTCTTTATAGAGTTTTCAAGTATTTTCTCATTTAAACTCAGAGCTACAACTTTGATCCTGATGACTATAGTACATGAGAAATCTTTACCTTAAAATTATCATATTTATACATTATCCTTTTCATCAGCGACGTATGTGAATAGCTTCCTGTAAACAACACCTAAAACGTAATGGGAAATGTGCATATTTTCATTTTTTGGCACAGGCAAGATCACGAACATTCAGAAGCATTATATAGTTGCATTCCAACTTTTAAGAAAAATCGAAGAGTTGAAGTCTGGAAAGTTTTACAATTTTAACGGAACTAGAAGCAATGATGTTAAACATTTTCTTCCAGAGCCCTTTCCTTCTTCTCTCGAGTATTACTGATCATCGTATAAATAAAACACATGAACTACTTTGAATCAATTAAAATGACTCAGCATTGAATGATGAAGATCACCAGAAATAAAATGATTGAAATACAGAACATACATATACCGGGCTTAACAAGTACCATATTAACAATTTCCTTATTATATGAATTATTTATATTTGACATCACTTGATACTATTCTAACTCACTTAAGACGCGTTTTTTTCATGGTACACGATTAATTTCAATTTGATATTTGTTCAGTTTAAATAAAGTTTATAGTATTGTATATGAATTTTGTTAAATTTGACTTTTTTCCCTATTATGATAATGAATTTTGGCGAAAAAGCACAGCTTTCAGTGCACAGATTATCTGTAAGCGTGATGCGCAATTTGATAGCCATTTAATAAAATGACGTTCCTCGAATTGACGTTTCACTAGTTCTATTTTACGCTTTTGAAGCCGATTTTCGATTGACCGGAGATATTGAATATTGCAGTAGTCCAACTTTGTCATTCTCGGACGTGTCTTTCTTACTGTATAACTCTTTTCTATGTGGTACGATCAATGTTTTCCACTACGCGTGACGTACGTTGAAGACGAATCACGTGGGTTTTGCTCAGCATTCGTCGTCTGTGCATACGTCATCAGCAGACTTCTGTTATCCATTTTTCCCGTATTAGATGACTGTTGGGTATGTGTGCATTCATCGAGAGCACGGTCCTCTGTTGGCAAACAAGCACTTGGACTTTCGCAAGTTTTTCCAGCGTCTTCGACTTCTTGAGCTTGATATGTCCTGGTCGTCTGACGCTGATGATGGAGTAAAGATTCTAGAATGGCCAACCTAGATAAAAAAGGTTTCAGATTGTGTCACGTGACCTAGCTCAATCTCAATCTATTTAACGAAAGAATGCTAAACCGCTTTGTTGCCAAACCATTGACTTTTACCTTTCAATCAATGCTTTCATGTCTAATTCCAACTCCTTTTCTCTGTCGATCTTTCTTGGTTCGTTCGACTGAGAATATTGATCTAACGGCAACGAGTATCTCCACGTTATTTTGTCTGGGTCTCTCTTTTTTCTGTTTGGTCTTCTCGGAAATGTACCATTTTCTGGAGACTTTTCCAACAGACTAAAGGAACATATACATTTTGAATGCCTTTAAAATAGCTACTTTCTGTCATGGTACACGAGAAAAGAAAGCATATTTATAATGGACGAACTGAACAGACATTAAACTTATCTGTCATCAGTTAAAGCATATACTGAATTACGCTGTCATGATCTGAGCAAAAGTTACTCTATTTCACAGCATATTAAAGGCACGAGGAATCAAAATTTTAAATGCAACAATATTTCATATTCGGTTTGTTTTCAGTAAAACCGTCGTCCTAATTCTATGAATATGCTGGAGATTACGACTGGCAACTCATTTATCTATTATACAAATGCTTACCTTATACCACCAGTATCGGCTGCCTGTTGCGCATGCGCTCTGGATACTGCTGTTTGATCACAATTGAGACTTGAGATGCTATGACTTGGCAGCGTGGGTCGTTTCCTGTTTTCCGACGGTTTAAATATAATGATGTACACCTTAGGAACAAACAGACACGCCAGAAGTATGGTGGCAATGAGGGATATACTGAGACATCTTATGCAAGACTTAAGCATGACGTCCGTCTGTACCAAATACACAGTGATGAATGCAAGCCATAGCACGCATGTGCAGTACATGGCAAACGCTATGTACTTTGCCTCGTTGAAGTTCATTGGACTCCTGCGTGTTTTGAACGCGTAATATGTGCACACAATTATCAAGACGAAGTTGTAGATTTGCGAAAGCAGAAAATCCTTGTCAGAGATGTCGCACATCAGCACAAGATCAGAGTCTGAAAGATAAAGTGTCTTTTCCTTTGGTAAACGCAACAAGAAGAACGCGGATAGAAGCATGATTTGAACGGCTACGAGAGCGAACGAGAAACATATTTGAGATTGCGGATGAATAAATAGTGGACGCTTGGTCAGATTGCGGCGGTTAAAATTCTCGATATTCGGTTTGTTTTCACAATAACCGCAGCGTAACATATGGTAAACGGTAAGCTGTCAAGAATGAATTCCACCACACACACATAAGGTGATGGTTTCATGAGGTTAACCACCAGTATTGCATAGCAGAAGAATAGTCCCGTCAGTAATAGATATGATAACTCTCGACCCGATGCTTTCACCAATGGTGTCTGATTGTGTTTAACAAAAACCACAATAATGCCTAAAACGGACAAGAAACCCAGAGTGGAAACAACTAGAGGAGGAAGCACCAAGTATAATTCGACGAAATCTATATTTAATGTGAAGTGACGTGAAGGCAAGCTGATGCATCGCTGTCTTTTGCTGTCTGGCCAAAAGCCGCGTGCGCATGATTTGCAAAAGGTTTTGTTGAAGGCATATTTATTTCCAGTGCATACTGTACACCCCAACAACAAGAAGGCTTTCCCTCAATTCTTATTTGAACCTCATTCCTTTGCATTTTTGCCACAAGAGGACTTTTTCAATCTTCCAAAGATGTTTTCCATTATTTTCTTCAGGGTCAGGATATTATTCTCCCATTTTCCTATGAGCATGTTGGCGTAATCACGTGATCCGTTTTTATCATAGCAGTAAATAAAATATTTCGCATCTCTAACATCTCCATCTTTGTTAAAGATAATATCCCTACCATTGATGCTTGGAAATGCGTTTGTCTTTAAAGCATTTAACACTTCTTCACCCGAGGATTCTTTCAATTTGTCGCAGATAGTTGGAAAGTTTTTGCATTTTCTTTTGCTTATTTTATCCAACGCTTGGGCAAATGCGTAAACCGCGTCGATCGTGCGCTGTACTCCTTCCTCAATGGTTACATTTGCAGATCGCAGTGTGTCGTCTGCAGTACAAAGTCGTTTGGTACTTCTGCGCGACAATGGTCTGCAACCCAAAGTTTTCATAAAATATTTTGTAAACCACGGGTTTGCGTCGTTTCTAATTGGTACACGATTGTAGAAGTATTCGCGAAAACCCGCAGACAGGGAGGACTGCGGGCGCAATGTAATAAGTCCACGAATGTGTGGTCGAAGTTCTTTGGGCCAATTCACAGTAACGAAAGCGTCCGAACCAATCCATTGGAATTCTCTGATAGCATTTTCTTTGTGTGCTGCTCGAAAAATATACTCTATCATCATTTTCTTACTGCAAAGTACAATCACGACGCGTGCTTCTTTTTCTTGGATTAGTTTTTGAATAATTCTCGCATAAGTCAAATTGTCGGCTCGAAGAGGAACCTTTTTCGCATTGCAATACATATACCTGAGGATGAAACACAATGCAAGAATTGTTAGCTGGAAAAAAATAGTGTGAACTATTACAGAGCTTTAAAAGGAAACATACTCCAAAGAAAAGAACTGTTGAAGTCTTAACTCCATCTTGAAGGAAATATTTGAGAAAACAGAGATAAGATATTTTTTCAAATAGTAATATTTCGATAGTCTTTTCTTTGTTTTCTTAAATATTGAAAAGATGATGGGTCTTTTCTTCTAAGTATGTTTCTTTTTATACTTTATAAAATTGTTTGGTGGCAATGCATTACAGAGGCTTTGGCAGCGGCAATCTGGACGTGCTTGCAGTACTGCTAACTGTCTTCAACAACTTGTCAAAAGATCTATGGAATTGGTCAATTGACTATCCAATATTACACAAGAACAGTCGAAATGAAAAGAATTGACACCTGCTTTCGTTAGTAGTTGCTAAAAGAAGTCAATTTTCCTCCAAGTAGAAGTTCATGTTTCGAAAACCTTCCTCAAAATAATATCATATTATTCACATTAGCTATGCGAATCGTTCAGCTTGGATGCGTTCATGTGCTTAGTTGGATTATTCGAGTTTGAACTTTTCTCACAAACTTTATTTAGGAAACCTTCTTCACGGTTGTCGCCTGTGTACACCTGTGTACACAGGTTTTTGCAACTCTGTCGACAGTATGATTACCAGTGTTTTGCTTACCCTTTTGTTTTGCTTCCATACTCAATCCCTCCATCCCTTGAGACCGTAGTTGTCCTCACTGTACACAACTGACACGTAGCTCCATCCGTAGCGAAGAAGTAGGTCAACTATGGCACGAACTTGAAAGATATCCGATGGCACCGTCCTCAGAAAATATTTATACTTGGTCTTATCGCTAAGTTCAGGACTTGTGGAGTCGTAGCTGATCTGTGGTATTTTGAAAAGACGAAACAAATGAGCCACCTGTACTGAAATGGAGCTGTACAGCGGTCCTACAACGCCCATCACTTGTCTCCCACCGTATGTCATTTCATCTTGCATATGGCATTTATGATCAATGACAAATTTCTCGACAGTGAGATCCAATGCAGTTGTTTCACTCGAACACGTATCAAATGCGCTCACACCAAGGGTTATACCCGGTAGTATACTCTCGTTTTTATTTATCTGTTTTACTGCGTACAGCATAGCCTCAAGTCTTTGGATACCCAACACTCCGTTTAAACTTACGCATTCCCCTTTTTCGTTCATCGAATGTATTGGGAACATACCTCCAAGTGTAATGTTTCCCGGCATGTGAACAAAAGCCGTATTGACGAGAGCAGCGAAAATAACCCAATGCAGTAATGCAAAGATAAATAAGATATTCTTGAATGCCGAGAAGAATTTTCTCATCTCTCTTGTGGCTAAAAGAAATGGTAATTGTATTAGGAATATTTTGAATTTAAAGAATAAACTAAAATCTCGAGACTTTCGCTGTCATTTATTTTGAAAAGAAAACCTAATTCCGTGGAAATTGCATTAATAATAAATAAAGTTGACAACTAAAACTGCTATAGCATATTGGATACTGTTTACTCATTCAGACGACTGACAAAAATGTATATCCATTATTTGACAGATGTTCCGGAGTTTTACAAGCTCGTGGAAAGCCATCTGTTTTAATGTAAGGTATAGAATACATCAGGAGACACTCTTGAGCATGGCAGGCCGAAAGCGCTCCATCTTTTAGAAGAGTTAAAAGTTGTAAATTTTTTTGTGCATACCACTACTTAATCTAAGCCGAGCCTAGCTCAACCGTCTACGTTTACTTTAAATGCCCTGAAGTATTGAAGAAAATACCCAGAGTCAGGTGCGAACTTTCCCACACGCAGAGTTAGGTGCGATCTTGCCCACACGCCTCCACTTTCCTTGAATATTCCAAAATGATCTATTCTGTTCTTGTATAGAATTGACAATAAATATTAGAATAAGAAACATGCGAACTCTGCATGATTCGCGCGATACTAAAGAATGTTTTGGCAATTACTGCCAACTGCGTCATGCATGTGATATCCTTACAGACAGTTTCAGCGCAAGAGTAGCTTTTTTGATCATGATGATATTTTGACATGATATGATTTTTTAAAACTCCACGCTAAGTACACTTTGTGTGTTACACGTGAATCTGTTGCTGCTACTTTGGAGATTCATACGACTATTTATCATGCGATGTTCTAACACTAGACTATTTTCTTTGCCGAGGGGTTTCTCTCAAAAATGGGATATAAATGGTAATGTGTGATAAATTCTCAGGATTTAGTTGCTCACACTGGTCTCGTTCGTGGTTATCAGTAAGAAAGGAAAATTTATATTACTTTGCACATTGCTGCAAAATCGTTGTCCTCCCTAATTAAATTCACCTTGTCGACTTGTTGACAACCAACTGTACGTATGTGGAGTAACATAACGAAAATTCTATAGAAACATGCTCAAACAGCTCCAGTTCAATCAACATCAAACATGACGTAAAATTCCATTTCCGTATTATGTTTACCATGTCGATTCACGTATTCTTATAAAACTAGTATAAATTTGTCCTGAGATGAAAATATATTTATGTTATATGAATATATTGTATTTCAATTGCTCTTTTCAGCCATCGTGCATTTTTATATTTCACAGCTTTTTGATTACATATCACAAGATTTCAACGGGAATTCTCAACAAAAATATTGTATTTTCTCTACCATTTGGCATTTATATCTTTAAAGAATCTTACGGAACAGTTGTTGATTCATTTATATGCGCAATGCTGCCGATAAATTCATTTATGCGTGAATACAAGACAGTACACATGTAAGCACGCAGATTATTACATTCCCTTATGTCAACTCATCTTCGAAGTTAAAAATTCACTGCATTTTTTATCGAAATGCCTTTATATATAATTCAAAAAATTTACGTCGTCAATAACATTTGTAAAGTAATTAAAACGAGTGACTAAAAACACAAAATGAATTTGTAAAGGACGGACATGAGGTGACAATATCAAAATGTAACACTATACCATGCATATCACATTTGTTTAACAAGGTATATCATCAATATAATCTATAATAGCTACTGATCGGAAAACTAAATGCTTTCATTTAAAGTCATATATTGAAACACGATGGTTTCATATGAATAATAGTTGGCTACATACCTGCGTATATAGAGCGAACGACTCTTTAATCTTATGTTGCGGTTTTCTATCAAAGATTGCACGATTTTGTGTCGTTCAGATTAGAGTTAATCCGTGACGCGAATCAATAAAATGTGTTTTGATGCACAGCAATGCAGCTCAAGGATCGCGAGTAATTTTCCATTGACGCAGACTATCGTTTAACGTAGTAAAAACTCTCTCTGTCTCTCGTACAGAAGGAACAATTGAACACGAGTTTATATATGAAAGGCTTTGCGGTCAAATTGAATTTTGCTCGCAGGTGTTCTTTCGCTTGTGTTTGTGCGGCATTGTCATTTAAATGTCCACAAAATTGTACACACTTGAAACGAGCAGTGTAAGTGAAACAATCAAATATCGGACGATGCGCGCTACCTAAAACAACAAATTAAAACGTGGGTTTGCGCGCACGAAAAATATACGATCCTCAGTTTTCTTTTCGAAAAATTACAGATTTCTTAGAGCTCTTCAAGCTGATTTCCCAAAGCGTACGATTCCATTCTTGTTGCAAGTAGCGTCGTTGGCATTGTCCAAAAATGCCAAGGTCTACGAATGATTACGATGATGTAATAATACTAATAAAGATTAGTGGACATGTGGTCTTACAATAACTTAATCTAATACAAGTGTGAGATAAACTTACATGTGCATTTGAGTAAATGAATTGATGCGAACTACCTCATTATACAAGGCAATTTATGAAAAGTACTTGTAAGAAAAAGCGTTTTCCTTAAACTATACATGTTTTAAATAGTGCTTCTCACCTTGCGTCACGTGGGGAGCTCATCTTGAAAGTAGATGTATTATGCAGCTGACAGCCCGACACCAATATTTTACACTTTTTGATAGATTGCCTATTCATGCTTCAAAATAGAAGTTCGCTTCCTTGTAACCGTAGGCTATATTCAAAACATGTTGTTCTCTCTATACTGTTGAATCAGTTAGATATTGTAAGAGCACGTGTTATTTTAAGGAAATTATTGCACACAGATATGATAACATCTCTCCGGGAACGATATTCTTTCCTTATACATTTATTTCATGATGGCATAATCATGGCGCTGTGCTAATCTTTTTTAAATAAGCAATTTATTGTCTCCAATTTGATTGATAATTTTGATTCCGATAGTTATGTTTAGTTGGAAGTGCTTTTCAGCCAGGGATCGCACAGCAGGGGGGTCAGTGACGTGCTTGGAACCTCTTCTATGTAGGGGGGGGGCAGAAAAATAAAGCAATTTAGAAACGAAGGGGAAAAGGCCTGAGCCGAACGTCGAAAGTGAGAGTCGTGTTTGAGGGTCCGGTAGTATTTTCCCATGAAAGTTTTTAATTAATTCCTTGATTTTAGAGAGTGAAATAATACTAACAGTATAATTTCTAATGCATTTTTCCAACGCAAATTCAAAATTAGACGTCCCTTAATCCTTTCAAAAATTAACAGCAGGAGGGGGGTGCACGGCCCCCTTAATAATTTCAACTTTAATTACAAACATAATGAATGCGTGTTTTACGAGGATGAAAGTATTTGTGAGCAAATAAATGGATCATTTCAGCCCTCTCCCCCTCTCTAAATGAAAATGCTCTGCGTTCCCTGTTAGCTTATCCCATTTTGGTAAACAACCTATTTACTTTCTGTGGCGAGTAAATGGTTGTGCAGTCTAACCCATGTGCCCCATTTACATCAATGTGTGAACTGTGCTTAACATGTATGTAATGTGTGTGGTGTAAATTTACTTACACAGGAATTGAAGTAATAGAAAAAGCTGATAACTTACAATACTCTTACAAACGCTGTGATTTGGTTGCACACAAAAACCAAGTCCAGGCCGGCAATTTCCAATAAATGCACTGAAGCAGATTCTCAAAAAAGAAAATCTCGAGATAGCTTTATTTTTCGCGATCTGCTTTTTTGTGCGTATTAATAGTTGCACACATCAACACTTGTTGATAATGGACTATGAAGGAAATTGATTTAATGTCTACACTCATTTATTAGGTTGGTGTATTTAAGAAATTCTACATAGTGAAATGACTATCCTATATATATTTAATGTCTATACTCCTTTATTATATACGCAAATGTTTATAGGAAATTCTAGATATTGAAATGAATGAGTGGGAGTGGCCGGTTTTCTTCCATCTTGGATTGAGCATTGATCATTACATTTTTAATTAAAATGTGACAGCCCAACATTTAATTTTTTTGGTGCAACCTTTACGAAAGTCGTGGTGTAAACGGGTTTTAATTAGCACTAAAAGAACGACGGGAATGATATATTGTCATTGTGAAAAATCAATCGTGGTATAAAGTATTGACTCTCCATTGCTAAAAAGCAAAGTTTTTGTCCTGTCCAAAAAAACTTACTGATAATATTGTTTACCATAACGATTTATCTGTACGATAGCTATTTTCAAAAATACTCGTTAATAATTAGTAATTTTCTTTTCTGTACTTTATTCTACGATTCTGGAACCAAATCTTCACTTGATTTTCACTGAGATTCAATGAAGCGGCTAAGTACTGTCGTTCTGGGCCCACAATATATTGTTGTCGTTCGAACTCTTTTTCAAGTATTTCCAGTTGTTGTGGGGTGAAAATCGTTCTCGTTCTTTTCCGTTTGCTGTCTTGATTGGCATCGTCCGCTATTAATAATAAAATGATAGTTGTTAATTAATGTAAAAACTAAGTATAGTAAGTGGCAGTTAGTATTTCCAGTTGTTGTGGGGTGAAAATCGTTCTCGTTCTTTTCCGTTTGCTGTCTTGATTGGCATCGTCCGTTATTAATAATAAAATGATAGTTGTTAATTAATGTAAAAACTAAGTATAGTAAGTGGCAGTTGAAGGTGGTTAAATGTCGAAGAATTTTTTTGCCAATCTTGCAATGTCAACTGCTGCTCTTTTGTTGTGGTAGCAAGTTGTTTTTTGTCGATAATAAACAGGTTTTATATTTCACGAGCAGTAAATCAAACTGCCGGTCAAGAACCCCTTTAAAACCGTATTCATCTTCGTTTCTTGCCTAATTTGATCGTTCTTACTAAAATGCAAGAAATTTGCTTTGCCGAAACTTTTGCGTACGCCGCCTTGTTTTCAAAACTTGATTCACACATTGATTATGAAGTTTTGTGGTGTAATGCGCATGCTCAAATTTCAAGTTCACCTTCCTTTTGAATGATGCAAGCGTTTATTTTGCACTTGTTGCGACGCCTTTTTTCATGCTTCGAATCCCTTCTTTCAAATATGATCTACAAACAGCCACATACGAAAGGCAGTTCATATTTGTTAAGAATGTTGTCAACGTGTTCGCAGTTGGGTGTTTATACAACGTGTAAAAATGAGCAACGTGTTTCCTTCCAAAGCATTGTTAAATCAATTTAATGCGACCGGTACAATTCATTGTGATGAGGCGTTTCGTAAACAATAGCCTTTAGAAGGTTAAAAGGACACTTATAGTTCGTTACTTGAGATATTTAATTGAAACTGCAAATCACTTTATGCCGCATAAGGGGCATAATTTTCGAAAATTTATGAATATATACATACAAGAGCCATGCTGCCTTTCATTCATCATGCTATGTAATATTTTTGTATAAATGAGACAAGCAGGAAGTTGAAATTGTGAAACAACCTTTTGTTTTGCGTTGCTATACATTATGTGATTAGCAGATTACTCAGTAGGTTAAGTAGGCTGAAACCTACAGGCCCGGGCTTACGAGAGGCCTGTAGTACCTAGAAATAATTAGTGTTTGATTTTTGCTATTCAGGTTATGCTAAATGGGTCTAATTAAAACCATTTATGCTGTTGAAAACGGTACGACCAATTGTTTGATTAAATGCACAATGCTCCGAACTCATGAAGTAGTGTGTTTTCTCAGTTTGAACTATAAATTTATTGCCTATTGCAAACACCATGAATTTTAAACACTAGTCAGGAAATGTAAAAACCAAAGGAGCGAGAGGAAAGTAAACGTCGTCCAGTGACTGAACTTAGTGGGAGGAATGGATAACACTTATTTGTTTTAGCCTACTGGCCCTGGAACTAGTTATCCGTTTGTGCGATTATTCTTCAATACAAGTATCACCTACCGTATTCTGACGTAGCTCTATCGTGTGCATAGTACTGCAAGGATGAAGGTATAGCAGAGCCTGGATAGAAATGTCTTGGATCAGGAAGGGGATAAGGAAATGCCGACGAATGTCTTGTTGTGGATGGAAATGGAAAAGTACGAGAGCTATACATGTATCTGTCGCGTATAGCTTTGTCGAAATCTTCTCTTTGACGTTCACGTAGACGTTCGTAATCTGTACAGCTTCTCTGATAGCATTTACCACAGGAACATCGTACGGGTGGAGAAGAGGAATTGTAGAACATGAGTCTGTTTTCTGATTGTAACTCGGTGGAAAATTGCATTTCGTCCACTTGTATGAAAAGGTGTTGTTTTATCTCTTTTTATACTCTGATGTTGAAGTTTTCTTTCGGGGGAGCGAACGGTCCGACTAATTTCCCGCAGGGATTTTTTTCTCGCTTTCTTCTGTCGTTTTTTCTGCAAATGTTAATCAAATCAAGAATACTGGACTTTTTGCATCGCTACATACCTCTTGCAAAAAAAAACAAACGACAAAAGTATTACCTGAACGTTTCCTTACTGTTCTTGATAATTCTCTATAAATACTCTCAGGAAGTGGATTCTTTCGAAGAAAGCTATCACTATCAGTAGTAACTTGAATCAAAAGAGTTACTCCGCGATGATATGGTCCTAGAACAAACAGCTTCTAACTTTTACGCCAGTATATTGCTGCTACATCCACTGTAGTCTTTCACTTAATGCGTAATCTTTTGCGGATTTCCCGGTTTTATAGGCCATGGTTACCTACGAGGAGGGCGGCTCCAAGAAAGAATGCAGTGAGCTTGCTAATTTAGGGCTTTGTCAACAGACCCTGCTCGTGTTAAGTGCGCTCGTAGTTTGGCGCAGCACGGTGAAACTCAATTATAAAGAATAATTAAAACTATGTTTAATGCTATAATCGCTGCTAATTTGCACTTTAAAAGCCTTTTATTCAACGAAAATATTTACAAAGGTTTATTTGAATGTTTGCAGACAACACTTTCGTCTCTATAGAAAGTTTGTAAGAAATGTCGCTAACAGAGCATTCAAGTCTTGTTTTCACCAGAACATTCAAGTCCATTTTTGACGTAAGAAAATCTTGAGCACTTTTCCCAGGATCCTTCAGCACGATTTTTTGAAATTAAATTATTCTTGTGTGATCAAAGAACTAATTTTTATAGTGTTGCGGTCTTTACAATTGCAAACAATTATGATGATGTATAATACTTGAATCGTAAAATTGAAGCCGTAAATTTTCTCATGCTCGTCAAATGGATTAAAGGAAAAACAGGTGTCTACTTAAGAAATTTTCTTGAACATACACAACGTACGAAAGTTTTTGTTGAAATATTTTTCGATAAAGTTTTCGAGTTTTAATGTCTGAGAACAGATTCTTATCTTCTTTCTGTAATACGTAGGCAATTACGATACAAAAGTTAACCGTAGACAAATAGCAAGAGCATGAGCTATTCGCTAATTTAGCCGAGAATTTAGCCTGTCATGACTTCGTTGAATAGGCCAAACAAATTTAAACAATGCAACGCTAATCACTCCGTTTACAGTGTTGATAAGCGTAATCGTTTCCATGGTAGAATGGTTTTTAATTTTCGTTTTTACTGTCATTAGGAAGTCCAAAGAAGAAATTGAATAAAGTCTTGAACAATTTCTCTCAAATCAGAGTTCACAATTAGATTGTAATTTTCTTTTTGTCGTATTCAAATGAGACTTGAAATTGTCAAACTTTCGAGACAATTGCTTATTGCCATCCAGGCTTTATAGCTAGGTTTGCTCTTGTGTTGTCGGTTGTGTGTTTAATTGTATAAGTTCTTACATATTGTAAATGACGTGGCATTGTTCATGGGACCGTTCAAAAAATTACTCATCCACTTGTCCCTGTGTATATATAGCTATCATAATTTCTCGAACGCAGTACACTAACTGAAAATTATGATGTTTACCGTGATACAGGAGTATATGCCCAAATTCTCCATTCAATAACTATTTATTGTTCTTCAGCATTGAGAACTGTGTTAGCGCGATACAGTTTTATTACGCAACTCTTAAAATATCTATTTTTATTATTATGTTAAGTTAGTTATATATATGGAATACACTGTTGATGAGATGTGAGAGACACTTGAAACATCAATTATACCGGCTATGATTAATTGTCCAATTGATCTTTTAGTTATTTCGATGAAAGCAGACAAAGCATGAGCTATTTTGTTTTTTTTTCTATAACATTGCATGTGTTGTTCAAATCATAGCTTTTTGCTTTTTCAATGACGCGCTTGTGTTATCTGATTTGATGTTTACTATTATGACTACGTTTAATTGTTTTATGATTTCTTCAATAATGAAAAAAAAGGTGTTGTTTCCAATATTAAAATATTGCTAATAATTTAAATTATTTAATTACATATTGCTGCTTATTAATTGCGTTGCAACCAACTCCCAATTTTGCTAATTTAATATGATATTGTCGCGCACGTAGCTTTTGTACTGATGTATAATGTGAGAAAATTGTGTCGAAATTAAATTACATGCATTCTATGCAGGATCACACATCATGTTCTTCATACTTCTTAGGGACACACAACTTAAGAACATTTGAGAATACATAGGCAATTTGAAGACGAATGTCGATAGCATGTGATGTTTTTTAAATTCTAAGGGACACACGGTTTACGACCATTTGAGAATACATAAGCAATTTGGAGATCGATGGTATGCAGGATGTTTGTTAACTTCTTATTACAAGGAGTGCTGCTGAAGAGATTAAGAAATTATCGAGACAGATGTAGTTTATCGAGATTACTGCATTGTGCTTGTACAGATTGGTATCTGAACAAAACTAACATACAATGGCGTGCGAAACTCGTTTATTTAGTCCAGACAAACAATAGATTTCTAAAGAAATGAAAATGATAATTTGTTGAAATTTATGCATGGCAAGACTAAAACCACCCTGACTAAAACATGCGGGCTTGCTTTGCTACAGATACAGCATGAATAGTCGTAATCGTTGTGCCTTAATCAAGCATTGTCTCACACAAATCTACTCGGCTGTTTTTTTTGAACGTTCAATTTTGTTGCCTGGCGTCACGTCTTCATTGCCTTCACGAGTGATCGTAAACACGTTATTCAAAGACGATGTTGGCTGAACCTTAAATGCAATGCTGACTGCTGTCATGGAGGCTTGGTTGCTGCGCTGCATTTCATTTGTGGATGCAAGTCGTAATCTATTCACGCACTTCTTCAAGGCTTTGCTAAAATCTCGTTTGAAAAATGTGTACGAAACTGGATTGAGAAAGGACGTGCTGTATCTGAGAGAGATGAGAAATACGTAGAATTTTTCTGGCACCAACTCATAACTCGCATGCAGCGTGTAGTATATTTCTATATAGAACCACCAAAACCAGCTAAGTATGAACATCAAGAGAATGCCAAAGAACAATATGGCCGTTCTCGTGTGTCGTGGATGCACGAAGCTCTTACCATGCTGCTTTCCGTGCTTTCTAAGAAAACCGTTCGACGTCTTCTTCACAATTCGTAGAAATATCGAAGCGTACGCAAATACCATGACTGAAATTGGAAATACAAACACCAGAGCAAAGATGAAGATATTGTAGATCATCACCTTTTTTTTAATATCATATGAATAATCTTCGTTCGGGTTGTTGTGTTTCGTTAGCCACGTCAATTCGATGACACTAAGGAAAATTGAACCCAGCCACGTGCTGAGACAGATGAGCTTTACCTTCATCCTGTCGAAATGTAGTTTATGCTTGAAAGGAAAGAGGATCGCTGCGTATTTCTCCAATGTTATCCAGAAGATGTGATAAACAGTAGAAATTGCTATGAAGCGGTTCACGGAATATCCTGACAGACACATATTCCATCTTTGGGTAATTTCACAGCCAATGTTCAATGGTATACCAATTAGACCAACGAACAAATCCGAAATAGCTAGACTAAACAATAAGTAATTTCCATTAGTTCGTAGCGACGCGTTGGTGAAGAACAGGACAAAAACCAGGCAGTTTGCGATGCATATCAAAATGGCGCATGCTATCAAGTATGAGTGGTAGTCTAACAGGATGCCTGTTTCTGTCCATGATATTGTCGTGTTGTTCCCCATTTTGTAATGAATTTTCCAAACTATATAGCAGAAAGAAAAACAGATGAGCACCTTATTTTTACTCAATCAGTGGTGTAGAAACGTCAATAATTGAAGTGGGGGATTTTCATTTATACATGTTCTTCCGTATTAAGTTCCTTTACAATCAATTATTTTCTACGTATTAACATGTGTGTATATAAATTTCTACCTCACCCACTAATTAACGAGTTGCTACGCTACTTACTTCAATTGTAGCTAATACTTCTTCCTATAAAAATCCTCTATGATTAGATGAATTATTGTTAAAAAGTGTTTATCTCCTGGAAACATCTCAACAATTCTTTGCTAATTTGTTTTGATGTCTTGTCTTTTAACATTGCGGTCATAGCTAAACGGGGCAATCTTGCTCGTTGATGATGATTTTTTTTCGTACGTCAACTGATATCGTGAATATTAAAGAAGAGTGCACTTAAAATGTTACATATACATCGTAATATTACATAATCATCGATGTTTGTGACAAAGCCAACAATTGCGAAAAATGTTTGCTGTAAAAAGAAATCGGCAACTGACTGTATAGAATACGTTTCAGGAAATACCTCTGATAAATGTTTGTGCAAAAAGCCTTCATAAGACCTGCATTATTTACTGAATTTAATGATTTTTATTAAGTCATGTACATGATTTGGTATGAAAACTCACCTTGACTAACTTGTTTTCTCAATACCGTTTCGGCAACCGAACGAATCTGACACAGTTTCGCATGTTTGCCACTTTTCTTCTGTATATATAGTCTATTTTTCAATCCCATAGTGCCACGTGTGTGTGTTTGGAGGGGGGGGGGGTTGGTACTTTGTATTTTTTGACACTTTTCTATATATATATATGTTTTATACGGAGAATCATCATATATAAACTTCCTACATATATAATATATATCATTCCCAAAGTGCCACGTGTATGTGTGTGTGATGGGGGGTGGGAGTTGGAGGGATGAAACATGGGGTTTCTAATATAATACACGGCGAATGTATCTATTAGTACTATTAAATACATTGCCTGACATGTAAAAAATTGAACATTAACGAGCATAAATCCTTGCAGAATGCACCAAAGAATGTGCGTCTTCGTAAAAACGCATAGCATTGTGGGAGTTTTTAAAGTCGCTATATTTAAATCCGCACGATTTTATTCACGAGGCTTCTGTTCACACACGCCATTGCCATCTGCTGTTTATGATGTAAGGATAGACAATATTTTGTTGATTTGTAGAAAGATTAATTTGCCGACACTTGAATGTGAAGGTGGATATCAAACTATCCCATCATAATTCGAAGAAGCAAAATATTTTATACACTTTCAATTTCTCAATCGAAACTTTTAAATTAATATATGTTTTATATTTTCTCTTGCGCCCGTGCGCTCTCTCTCTCTATTTTTCTATTATATTTGTATGAAAGGAATAATACGGTAAAGGTTTGAGACAGCAAAAACAACGGTCGTGTATTAGTCACTTGTCAACGTTATCTATTTGTTGTAAAGTAAACATTTATAAAATGTGTTATTCGCATGTCAACGTTATCTATTCGTTGTAAAGTAAACGTCTATATCGTGTTTATTCACGTGTCAACGTTATCTATTCGTCGTAAAGTAAACATAAGTCAGTCTATATTATTATCGAATGAGTTAGCAGCAGTTATCTTTTACGCTACTTTTTATTTGGCCCAGTCATCATTATGAGCATGTTCAACCGACTTTTTTTAAATATACCACATGTATAGTTTTATTGACGTTTTATCATCATTTTTTCAACGAGTATCGACTAAAGAGAAATTAGGCCGTTTTCTAGGAAAAATCTTTCCGGTAGAACTTTAAGTCGTGTGTGATTCTTATCGGTCGGCTGGGCTTCCATCGAAAATATGGGACAAAATTAGTTATCACTTCAGATCTAATTCGTTTTTTCGTCCGAGCAGTAAGCCCAGATGCATCCATCTTGCATGTTAGGACTGTTTTCGAAAATGATTAAAAATATAATTTCTTGTATATCATATATCCAGCTATCAAAGAATTATTCTTAGATGTAGTTAATTATGCTTTGAATTATGTTACAAACAAAAACTGCCAAACTCGTTTCTCAATTCCAGATACTGCACTTGTACGTGTTTGTCTAAATACGCGTACATGTTATATGCCGGCTTCGGGCTCTTGCCGCTTCTGAGAGCTCGTGAAAATATGTATTCGGTACGAACAGACCTAAACGGTTCATAAAGTTTTCATTTTTATAATGAGGAACTTCACGTTGTAAAATGATCGATGGGCTTGATTGGACTGAAGATCTGAAATTGGATTGTTTTCTGCAAACGTTACTTCGTCTGGATAGTAAAGTTTTCTCTCGCTATGATGACTACCATCTGAATGCTCGTTGCTAATTTGAACAGTTTACATGGCTAATTAATGATAGTTTTAAAATTGAAGTTTAAAAAATTCAAATTTTACTTTGTAAACAAATTTATTGCAAAAAAATAACACTCTCGGACAGAGGTCAAGATATCGTAAAAAGCATGACGCTGCTGCGACCAATCAGATTGAAGGGAATGAACGCTCTGCTGCAGCCAATCAGATTGCAGAGAATCAAAAACTATGACTAGGCATGAATGAATGCGAAACATTCTACAATTATTAGATGAGACTGAGCATGATATCACGAATTATTCAGACCGAGGTCGAAGTTATGCGAAGCCAAATTCAATAATTGCTTTACCGTACTCTGTAAAAATGCAGAAGCCTTTTGTACGGACTAATAAAGCCCTGGAGTTTTCCCTGCTTCGACAGTAACTCTTTTCGTGTTTTCTTGTCCTTATTGTCAATAATTCGAGCCAAATCAGTAAGCAAAACGCATGCATCAGGAAGAATCCGCCAATATACTTTTTTATTTAAAACGTAGAAAAATGAGCTCAAGTAAACATACCATTGAACATGACTTTATTCAATTACAACAATCTTGATTTGATTTTTTTTACAATTGCATGTTTCTTACAAATTTTATATGCACAGTTGCGGCTTGTGATTTCAATACCCGTAGATTGTCTTTGTTATTTATTGTACTTGCGCTCGCGCATTATGATTTTACTTGCATGTGGGAAACACCTTGCGCACGCATCATAATTTTACTTGCATGTGGGAAACACTTGTCTATCTTCTGGTTTGCTGGTTGAGATCTAAAAGCGAGTTCTTATCAAGGTTTAGTTTCGTAAAATCTTCAACATTAGTAATGCGAAGAATAAGGAAAATTAAAATTATGAATAAAATTATGACGTGTAATTAGAAGTCCAGTAGAAATTGTGAGTTGTATTGGCTAAGAAATATTTACTGTCCCCCCCGACCCAGCATACCTTCATGCCTATGACTTAGTTATAGGCACGATATATATGTAGCAACGAGTGGTTGAATATGTGAACTTCCATGAACGTTCTTGACAGTCTCATGTCCTGTAACGGCTTATCAAGCATAGTGCTCAACCATCTTTACATGTCATTCACGATACTATGCAAGAATTCATTGTATTTTGACATCGATGTGCGATTATGCAACAATGTCAGATAAATACAGAGGTAGTTAATGCGTACAAATTTTTTGTTCGGTCGCCTTGTTTAACTTAACGTATAACCTCCCAGAAATGAATAGAAAATGATGGGGGAGGGGGGAGGTACAAGCGCACTGCTATGCTGTTGATCCTTTCGTTTTCGAAATTGACTCTCTGTATTAGTCTGTAGTTGTGCATATTTTCTCTATTTCACCGTATCGCTCGTTTATCAACAGCGGAACGTGTTTTCGGATTCAAGTTGAAGTTTTGCAATAGTTAGACCAACCCACGCGCGTGCGTAGCTTAAATACAATTCTCGTACATAACTACAAATACATAAAACGTATTTCAAACAAAATGCCAAATTACTCTATTCGCATAGAATATTGTATTGTCTTTTTCTAAATAATTATATAGAATTACCTAACTCGTGTCGAATGCCCCGCGGCTTTTAGAAAGCTTGCATTATTAATCTCTACAAAACATCTTAATAAATATCGTCCTTCTGTTCGAAAATCGACGTAGAAACAAAACTGAGAAGAATTGGAAAATTTTTTCGTCCGACTTTCGTAGGAGGTAGCTATGGCGAAAACTCGACCTATTTCTAAGTTGAGTTTATATGTGAATTGTTGTCATTGCCACGATGATGGGGTTTTCTTGAAAAGCAAACCTGATGACATTTATGCCTGAATGAACAATACCTGTATCAGGGGGCACGGGCAGGATTTATGAAAAATAGTGCAGGGGAGGGCGATGGTATCTTAACACGCAAAAAACAACTAATAGCTGTCAGTTTGAAATTGTCATGAAAGGGAGACATCACCCTGGCTACGCTCATGGTATACATTGACTTTAACTGTCGCCCATTGCACGTATTAATTACACGTGTTAATTTTTTTGGACTTTGCTCTCCTAGCAGCAAATTCATATTTTCTTTAGTCTGCTTTACCGACAGAGCAATACAGAGGTATCACTTTAAGTAAATTGGTGAACCTTCTAAATGAAGTGCATCTAATTTGATCGAAATAGTTATTTGGTTTTTTGTGGGTGGGTGTGTGTGTGTGTGGGGAGGGTGGGGTGGTGTTGATCCAGTCAAAGATGAACTTAGAAGACTATCACACAAAGCAATGAGAAAAAGCGAACCCTCTGTATTACTCTGTGCTTCAGTCCTATAAATACGATTTATTGTTTAAGCTTTGTGGAAGATTTTCATGAAATACGTGCTGAAATGCATCTTGATACCATCATCTTAGTACGCGTCTTCAGAGAACCCAATGCTATACTTCACCATTCTTTAAATTTTGACTTCTAGACGCAGACATACCAGCTTGGAAGGAGTTATTGTTGCTATGCAAAGATTCGTGGCATTTTAAAAGTTCACTAAGGTAAGCTTGAAAAGAATTGAGTGCGGCATTGAATGCAGGCGTGCCAAAACCGTGTGTCACAAGACCAAAATGCGTGAGTCCTTTGAGAACGGATTCCGGTAGAGTGCTGTTGGATAGTCTACTTGTAGGGTATGGATCTTGGGCGAGGATGTCTTGTAGCTCCTTTGTAATTTGTCTAAAGAGTTAAGAAACATGGGTGTATAATGCAATGGAAAATTTGAATAGAATTATATACGAATTTGTTATGGAGAGTAGGTTTGCATATTACTTAACCTAGCAGCAAATTTTCAAAAATAGATATCGCCGGCTAAACTAGAAATTTCCTGCAAAAATTTTTGTTGTTGAACAGAAAACAAGCGTTCGCTTATCGCAGTTGGCGGTTGCTGTAAATTCCTATTGTTTAGCTTCACTAGACAGATTACAGTGCAAATTGACTTTGATAGACCTGGGGCCGGATGCACGAAGGCCGAATAGCGCTATCCCATCGCTCATTGCAGTTGGCGGTTGCTGTAAATTCCTATTGTTTACCTTACCGAATAAAGATTACAGTGTAAATTGACTTTGATAGACCTGGGGCCGGTTGCACGAAGGCCGGATAGCGCCATCCCATCGCTTATTGCAGTTGGCGGTTGCTGTAAATTCCTATTGTTTACCTTACCGAATAAAGATTACAGTGTAAATTGACTTTGATAGACCTGGGGCCGGTTGCACGAAGGCCGGATAGCGCCATCCCATCGCTTATTGCAGTTGGCGGTTGCTGTAAATTCCTATTGTTTACCTTACCGAATAAAGATTACAGTGTAAATTGACTTTGATAGACCTGGGGCCGGTTGCACGAAGGCCGGATAGCGCCATCCCATCGCTTATTCCAGTTGGCGGTTGCTGTAAATTCCTATTGTTTACCTTACCGAATAAAGATTACAGTGTAAATAGACTTTGATGAACATGGAGCCGGGAAAAAAATTTGGATTTGAACTGGACAAGCATTGAAATACAATATTGGTTTTACAAATTAGAAAGTTTCATTATCCCAAAGAGAATATAACCACTTTTTTTACAAGTTTGAAAAAAATAGTATCCAATGAATAGCGCTATATTTAGGCTTTGTGCAACCGGTTGCGGAGATACTAGACAGTCGCATATTGTTGGGAATGGATCAATAAAATTTCAATGTTAGGGGAGGCGCATTTATTTTCAAGGGGCTGAAAAATGTCTTGGGATGCGCAAAGCGATCACATGGGAGATGCATGCTTCCCAGCACATCCCCTCAAAATCTGGCCTTGTTTTACACGGAGTTGTGAACATGCATTGTTTTCTTACTTGCAAGAGAGTATGGCATTCTTTCGTGTTTCATACTCTGCTGATTCTTTATGACTTTTAGCCACGTGCTCGGAAAGTGCCTGTGTTGGAAACTCCGATACACATACATAGTCGAAATCGCCGGCCAAATGAGCAGCTTCGCCTGAACAGCAATAAAATAAATGAGTTAAAAAACAGTTTTTTGGGTACTGATGTAAAATGTAAAAAGTAGCAGGAAAATCAAATAGTGGAGATTGCATCGGAAAGTAAATCAAATAGTGAAGACTGCAATGTTATCGCAAATAATTAAACTTCAATGATAAGTGTGAAATGATAAAAAATGGATAAAAAAGAATGAGTATGACCAATTTATGCTGACCTTCCACTAATGATGTTAACAACGTGACCTGCGCTGCTTTCCTTCGTCCAGCCGGAAGTGACAAACCTATTTTTTCTAATTTTTCCCGTAGACATTTACCACCATTTTTCGACTTCGCCCTATTATTAAAAAAAGAGACGATGATAAAGTCAAACATTACTAATTACAAACTCTGGAGACGTTGCAGCGAATAGGACATCATAACATGTGGAAATTGTTTTAGACGCATTTTAGGCATATCTTAACTCTTCCCCCCAAAGACGGCTTTGTGCTCTATACTGTGTAGGGCCGTTTCAAGCGGGGAGTTGGCAGAAAAATTAAAGCCTTTTCGTTTTTCTTGAAAGAGAGGCAATACTCCATCACTTTTTACTAAAATAGCAAAATGACAAGAGAATATTTAGCATAGGTATATTCTACAATACAGATATACACAGCTTAATGGGCTTCTAAAGAAAAGCGCAGAAACCTTTAGATATTTTTTATTGCTAGCCGAGTTTGCTATAGTTACCTGGTGGGGCAAAAATGCTTCTAAAATGACAAATTTTTATTTTCCTGCATGACAGTGATTGCATCATTTACATTATGTCATCTCGTGTGTTATTCTATTAGCATGCATGTATGTAAAAATGAGAAACGTCTTGTAAAACGTTTTGCGATGTTTATACTTCGATTTTTCGAATGCATCTTACACTAAAACATGCAGGAAAGATAAAACTACTAATATAAAATTAGTACCATGATTTCTCTATGCACCCCTCACTTTTATAGCCCTCCCGACGCCCCTGATACTATGTATAAGGGTGTACTATTTTACCGACCTTCTCAGACTCCCCGAAGTAATGAGGCATTTAGACACTCAGGATGTGACAGTCGTCTCCTTATTTCCCCACCGTAACTTTGTATTTTGACGTGGACCTGAGAAGGGACAAACGCCCTCGGACCGAACAAAATACGTCCGAAGGTTGCACGGGACGATGGGTGTCGATTTCGTCTTTGCTATCCTCGTCGTCTTGCCTATATCTAACTGAAAAGAATGAAAAATTTTCTTATGTTACGAATTTAGTAACTTCACAGCAGTCACTTATTAAGAAAAACTGCCGGCACTTAAATATAGAATCTTTTCAAATAAGAATAGTTTGTGTTGAGAGCAGCCCCTCCACATACCCGGATAGTTATATTAATTCGATATAAAAGTATGCTTACAGTCTCGCGACGTTCTTGATGATGGCGGCTCCAAAGAATGAAATTGAATAGCAGCAAGCGTTAAAATGATTCACGAATGCGCAAGCTAACCTATCTAAGCTAGCTGCAAGGTACAACGACAAAAACAGATTAGAATTATATAACATGAGGTAACTCTCCGAAATAGTTCCTGTATGGAAACAATTCAAAACTATGTTACGTTATATATAAAAAGTAACGATACTCTGGGGTTCAAACCATTTACTTTATAAAATTTTATAGAATGTTAATATGTCTATTTCAGTTTAAATTAGGATTTTCCAATGTAGTATTTCGTGTATTATTCATTACTTTGTTGTATCAAAGTTCACGGAGTGTGGTACTCTGTAGAGAAACGTCAAAAGAACGTAGAAAAACGTCAATTTTTGCGAGTGACACATGCGGCGCAGAACATTTGCCTTTCTATCTTTAGAAAAGATTGTAATAAAACTTTAACAGCACATGTTCTCAGACAAAGTTACCCAAAGGACAATACATATCCTCTTCTTTGTAAGGTCTTAATTATTGTACGTGCTTGCTTGAAGCCAGAAACAGCAAGAGAATTACGGCGATAATAATATACCTTGAGATATTTCTCGACGGTGATTGGTTAATCGCAGGGCAGTTTATCTATCATTGCAATGTGAATATATGAAATTGCAATGTAGAAAGTGTAGTTGCACTGTAAATTGTGTAATCTGATTGGTTGAAAAGCAAGGAAATCCAAACAAACTTCTTTTCAATTTAAAAAAAAACATGGCTGTAGTTGTAAGTAAACAATGATTTCCACAATTGCAATCGTTTGAAATTCAAGAATTACAAAAGAATGCAAAGAAAAAAATAAGACAGAAAGTACTGTTTTTTTGGGTGAATATTTTTAACGGTCAAGCCGCGCAACGAGGCTCTTCTGGAACGATAGAAAATAACAAAGTGAGACAAAGTTTAACGGTCCAGTCAAGAATTATCTCAAAGTATGTTGTTATTAATAAGAGTATAGTTTCTCGCGCAATTAAGGCTAAACATGTACTCGTGAGTTTTTTGAAGACTTCAAATAGATTCGCTGCAGTCCCTAAAAAACTCACTCGTAAATTTTTATACGTAATTGCACTCAAAACTATACAATTACCTATACTAATGTTACACTCGTGACGGGAGAGCTGTCGTTCAGTAAATCTAACTAGCTTTCTTCGGCACTGTATAATACAATTAAAACTTAAGTAAGAACGAAAGTTACCAGGCTTACCACCTGTCGTAAATTGTCATGTTATGTTATGTAGTGTGTGACTGTGTCATATTTTTGATTATAAAATATAACGGATATTATGTTGATGTAAAATAGTATAGTCATGGTTAAGAGAACACTTCCTCACCGCAATGCGTCATTGCGGTAGGATGTAGGTAGAAACGGGATGGCAAAGTTGTGCGTCATATGTAGAAGCCCAAAAACCACTTCCGAATAATTATACATAAATATAGCTTGCAAGCGTTGGTTCGGGGGTTCGGAAAAGTTGTAGTTATTGGTGTATGAACTGGTAATACAAATTTGATGAATTAGAGTTGTATTGCAGAAGGCAATAAATTTCGAAAACGCAGTTGTATGATTGACAGTTGTCCGTAATCTTAACGAGATGAAATTTAATCATTCCGTATCGCGAAGAACCAACGCTTGGAACGTAAAATCGTGCACAACACTGGAAATATCTTATTGAAGTGTTAAAATTATAAATTCAAAATACAGTCCCATCGTTAGTGTGAAGTTTTAGAACAGTGAACCAGCACTTCGCGCAGATTGTGCGAAACCACCGCAAGTTATAAGAAATTTTACAACCCAAAACCTTTTATAATAGTCTTAGCTCAACTAGGAAATAGAAATTTCTCCTAATGTATACAACCAGATATAGTAATTTCTTCATCCCATACTTGTAAAGCAATTATGCAGATACATTAGTGCTAAATTAATTAATTGCTAATTTAGTTTGTAACATTGTTGTAAATTTTCTATGAACTTTCGAACTTTCGATCGACTCTTTGAGACAACTGTTGCATTCAAAATATTGTAGTGTGTATATTGACATAAATAATTTTGATAATACCTTGTGAATTCAATAGTAATTCAGTTCGCAAGACTATAAATATTTATTAAACGTTCCATCTAGATCTTTTTACCTATCTACCTTCAATTCTCACCACAGAAATTTCTATTCTCTTGTTTTAAAACACAAAACACCCTGAGCTATTACATAAGTTTTGTCTAATCTAAATTCCACTGCAGTTTGATAACAAGGAAAGGACAAAGTGAATAAACGTACCTGCGGAGTGCTCTGACCACTAAGTTGCGCGGGCGACATAATATCCATAGCCTCGTTACTTAACCGTATTGGATCATGCCTATGAGCATGCGAGGTAAAATGTCCATTGACTAAATCGGGACTAAACGGTCCCACGGATGTATCTAAACGCTGCAATTGTTCACGTCTTAAGAGTCTATGGTTCGGATTTGAAGTCGCTTGTTGATGATTTGAAATTTGTTGTTGAGGATGAAACGCCGACGGTGTCTGACCGTAAGGCGTTGCCGGTTGAAAATGATCTATTGAATGTGAAAAGTCAAAACGTTGCGGTGGTTGTTGATAGGGGATCGGTGCATATTGCGGTGCATAATACGGACTGGTGTTCGGAGGTAGCTGTCCGGCGAGAATATCCCGTAGGTCGTGAGCTTGCGGATTTTGTAGGGAAAGACCCGTGGGTGCTATGCTTGAGCAAGCATTGAGTGTTGCCGATGGAGTGTTCACACTTGTTGTTGTACTTCCACATGGCATTGTTGACAAACTTCGATCCTACAAAGTAAAAGAGATTGTTCATTCAATGTGGCTCTATTATACACTGTGTATACTGATTTATGAAATCTTAATCTTAAACTGATGCAAACTACCCAATCTTTAACATCTAATCTGAGCCACCAGATTTAAAGTATATGATGTGCAGTATACAATCTAAATCTAAGTCTAATCTACATTAGGAGAAAACTGATTTTTGAAACGATGAAAACATCGTATTTTATTGAAAATGTTTTGTTGAAGTGATGTTGATTTAGCAAATACGAATAATAATTGATATAGGAGAGTTTAGTCTCGATTGCTGACTTTATTAAAGTCTAGTTCTCATTCATAGTATTTGTCAAAGTTACCGCGGTTTATTCCAGAGTGTGTAAAGTGAATAAAAGATTTTTTGCCGACTTTTTGTTATCGTCACTGGAACTACCCTCATTGCACTCATCATCCATTATCGTTAATCCACATTAAGTGCAATTCAAACAATCCGCAACTAGAAATGAATTAGCCAATACCCGGATTCTGATAATTAGTTGCTTTTGAAATTTTCGATGGTTTTATTGCAGGCGTAATGCAACGCAGGAAAGAGGACGTTCACTACAGTTCGTAAAACCAAGTAATCATGATTATGTTCAACGCAGAAAAGGAAGTGTTCTCTACAGCTCTCAAAGTCAAGCAATCCTGATTAAGTTCAACGCGTTCCTATTATAGTTACAAAGTTTCTTTGTCGTGAAGATTGCAATTTCTAAGGTATGTCGCTAGGCTGTTTTATTGATATCCTGAATTCACCTCCGTCAGTGATTTATCGCGCTAATACCCCCACGCTCTTCTAAAACATACGAGTACAAAATGATTTCGGAAATTTTGTGCAAACACATTCGCCGAGGCGTCATTACAGCGTTTCCTCCAGCTTAAGTTTGCGGGCTCAAATGAAGTCCACTTCTTGTTTTCATTGACAGATATAATTGTTTATCATCGAGTAAAACAATGATGTGCGATAAAAATATTTCTTTTCGTCAGCTTAAGTTTATCGAAAAGCTTTTAAGGCTATTGTCTCTTATCTTGGACTAGTTTAAGCTTTGTTTACGTTTGTACTTGCATGCGAACGTATATCTTTAGCGTACGTCATAAATATATAGAAATTTGACATCTTATGATTTTAATTCATTGCATGAGAACGTATATCTTTAGCGTACGTCATAAATATATAGAAATTTGACATCTTATGATTTTAATTCATTGCATGCGAACGTATATCTTTAGCGTACGTCATAAATATATAGACATTTGACATCTTATGATTTTAATTCAATTAAAACATTTAATAGCTAATCATTATTGAACTTTCGACTGTGGAACACGGCTATTTCTCTCTCTATGAGGAGATTACCAAGCGAGTTTTGCGCTCCGTATCGAGTAATGTGAGGTATCCGCGCTTAAATATGAAAATCCCAAAATAAAAGCACGACACTGTCGAATGAAAAATTTTCACGGTTGCTGAAGTAGAACTATTTGTATTTTAATACGACAAATATCTTGCCTCACTTAATCATACGATAATTCATAAGTACTTATAACAATATATCTATAACACCTAGATAATAAATTTATTATTTTATGTTCTTAAGCATGTACAAATATACTTGACTCTTAGAACATCATGTTCAGTTATGCGATCATCAAACAATTTGCATTTAGTACAAAAAAACGGAGACAATCCAGTATAAGTTAACACTGTTAGGTTATATGATTGTTACCAAATATATGACTTGACTGCATCGTACACAGAATCAGACCTTTGCCTTACATATAGCCAAATATCAACAAACTATAGCTTTACGTCTATATAGATCACGAAGTGAGCACAATGCGAGCGAGTATGCATGATATTATGTCTAAATTTTCATAAAACGACCGAGTAATTTTTAGACAAGAACCAAAATCACTACGTGTCATATATAGTTCGTTGCACGCAGTCTCGCATCCATATGATTCGCTAAGTCTCATGAACTATACACATTGTATTTTACGCTCACCTCCAATATAGATTGCGTGTTTTCCGATGTGTTCAGTTGAATATTACTAGCTGAAATCGGGGTCGGCGGTGGGCTCAAATCTTCGTGTGATACACGCCGTTTATTCGCGCCCCTCGTCAGCAAACCACTGCATGGTTCGAAAACAAAACTCGTCCCTGGTTTACTGTCCATCATTTTAATCACACGAGTTTATTCCGTGGTACCATAGTCTCAAAACGCCCCGATATCACTAAGTTATATTAATAAATTCACCTGGCTCAATGACCTAGGGTCGCCGTTTCTCGTTCTGTTTTGCCGTGGGGTATTTTGAGTGTGCCGTGTCTTCGCAACACGGCCTTGAGCGCTATACTGTCGAAACGCGAAAGGATGGCGTGCGTTGTACTTGTTATGTTTTGGCTGCTACATATCATGTTTCAACGAACCCTAACAAATTATCATAAATTGAATGGGAATACTTGACATGCAACTGTGCATTATATCTCGCTGTCAATTTAAACGATGTAATGATCAATCGCAAATGGTCGCAGCGACACGTTATTGTATATATTAGTACCATTGACTGCCACCAATTGGTGGAATGGTTTCTCTTTCACCAATGAAATGCACCCTTCCCGAATTTCTACCTCAAATGCACAACTTAATTTATACTAATACTTGCGGTATACGTGTTTAATAATATCAATAGTCATCTAACGCTATTTGCTTTTCTAATTTCGCAAATCAACCGCACATTGGTGAAAATGATCGATTCAATCGCGGTCTTTAATTCGTTTGTGTGTTTTTTCTGGCCCATCGTCATCCCTAGACAGTTTGTTTTGGCCTGGCGCTTTGGTATTTCCTGTTTCATAATTGGAAAAACGTGACGCAAAAGCATACTGTACTCAAATCAAATCACTCGCCATGAACACGAAGCTAATTTATATACAAATTTTTTAAGGAGGAATGAGGAAGAGAAGCCACGCTAACTGGCCCTTTTGTATGAACGATGCTAAAAAAAACACTCGCGAATTCACATGCTAGGACATGCATTATGAGTTTCCAAATCCATGGATGTTGTTTACTTCTTAATGCATACATGCAGCTAACTCAAAAGTAACTCCATATGGGTTCGTAAAAGATCGCCTACCGTACTAACCTTTAATGATATTATATTACTACGTTCATCCTCCTTCAGATGACGATTGTTATAATAGTTCACATTGTTTATGAAAACAACATTGCATGACCCATCACATTGGCGGCTTACTCTTTTTTGGCATTTTGTGCTATTTTCGATGCTTTCCTACACTACAGTGTTGAAAGGATTTTGTCACTTTTGTTCATACTTTAAAAACTACGTGTGAATTGGTGTGGCATTATTCATTTACCGAATTAGCTTTGCCAATACACGAACAATGGATTTTTTCACGGTTTCTGCATGTTGTGGCGAGTATTGAAGAAAATATTTTGATCTGTTGCTATTTATATACGAATTTTGGCTTTCCTAACTCCACCGTCGACTGGCATAAACAAGGCTATCAAAAATTAGAGCTTACCAGTTCTAACTGAAAAAATGACATTTAACCATCAGTATTCGACCAATCAACATTTACTCATGTAATAAATTCGCTTTTGTGCGTATAGCTTCCAGCAGCGGTTCAGGGTGAGTCAGAATACATTACAAACACTCATTTTCAATTCAAAAATGCCATAACAACAACGCTGTTGTTGGTTGGCAATTTCCAAAGAATACTGTGGAGTCGAAATTTTACCAATAGTTTATTGTTCGTGAAGTATTTTATATTTTAAACATATATAACTTAAGGTATTCTATATTTTATTCCAGACCTATTGCTTGTAGCTTAGGTCTAAGATGAGAAATGAAGATGAATTTTCGTCTCTAGTACACAAGGAATGTTTACCAAAAAAATGGCAACTGCCCAACAATTATCTATTGACTGCATTGAGGTCTTCCGGTCGGCATGTTTTTTAATGAAATTGATCCATACTTCCATATTGACATAGTCAATGAAAATTTAGTTAAATCGGACGAAGACATTTTTTCCTTCACCTTTTCTCGGAAAGGTTACATGTCGAGTATGTTCAAGCCAATTTGCCTGCATGCATCATGGCCAATGTTTTTTGCTTTATTATAAATTTATTTTCGCATTACTGTTGTAAGTTAACTGCTTGCTGAGCTTAAAACAAACTTCACCTAAACGTCATTCACATAATAAAGCAGCGAGTTTTGTATGGCAGGCATTCTTGCATCCAAAAGTCCAAATCATTACGATTTCTTATGAGAGAAGTGTTTCGGCATCTCATGATGCCTTCTTCAATATAATTAGCTATCCCAAAGAATTATATTATCATACTTAGAAATAACATCATCATGATATGCTGAAAAATACGTCAATTGAATAAAAAAACTTCTGCATATTTAACGTACTTCAACAATATTATCTACTCAGGTAGGATAATGGTCTCCATATAAAGTTTTACCGTTTTAAGTTCATATATAAAAGCGTGCTATCATTGTTTTTCATGGTTTAGTTTGCACTATGTATATAATGTAAGTTGTTTGGCGTGAGACGTTGTTGCTTAATGAATGATGAAATAGTCGATGGTGTGAATTGATCCAAAGTTCGAATCATTGGCGTAAAGGAGGTATCATTTCTACGCAGGAGTGGAGGGTCGTTTCTACGCAGGAGTGGAGGAGGTAGTAAATATTTCCCCAACTCAATACCAGTCTTCTCGACTTCAACTACGCAGGAGTGGATGGGGCAGTAAATCTTTCCCCAACTCAATACCAGGCTCTCGACTTCGACTACTCGTCTAAATAATTGCTCATGTTCATAGTTTAAGCAAATGTCAAATCACAATGCTACTATACATAGAAAAATAATAGAAAAATAATAGAAGTACCTTTAAAACCGAAAACTTTACAGGGACTTATTCATGCAATGATAATTTTAAGTTTCACAGTTTATAGGCTTTTATGTCTCGGTTATGTCTCGGTTTATGTAAAGAAATCATACATAAAAACAATTTTAGCAACTCCATGCATGAACTATATGTATATACTATTATATGGTGTATGTAAAGGAATTTAGATAACAATTTTAGCTACTCCATACATGAACTGTATATGTATATAATATTATATGGTGTATGTAAAGGAATTTAGATAACAATTTTAGCTACTCCATATGAACTATGTATACATTTACTAAAAAAACGTAGTAAATTCCTTCACTCGACTTCTAAAGCTATCCAACCTTACGACCCATGATTCATTTTTATCAATTTTTACGACATGTTTGACAATCATTGTGTAGTAGAATTTTAAAAGAATTAACAGCAACTCACTGTAACATGTATTAACATAACACGATAAGCAATGTTGAATACAAAGTACGATCTGTGAGTCTGCATTTGTGTGATGGAAGCTTCCACGAATGGCAAATTCTGTTACGATTAAAAATTCTAAAAATTATTCTACTGATATCGATCAAAATATCTCTCTTCAACAGAGCTTCGGTTATTTATTGAATATCTTAAGTTATTTAAAAAAGCTATCATTCCCCTTAGGCTCTATGGACATTACAGAGATAACTATCAAATATGTGTACAACTGCCACAATTTGTACAAATTAGAACGTATAATTAGATTGATCACAGTCCATATTGCGTTCGAATATAATGTTCGTTGTCATGTAGACAGAATTGGAAAGATTTAAGACGATTATCATGTATTGTTATGGACTTGTCTATTGTTGAATCGCACGCAACATATATATGTATATATCATTTCTATTCAACCTCAGACTATATGCAGAGCAAGGTATTTGTCGATGTATAAATCGCAATTTTGTTTCTTCTTTCTAATGCATCACTTAGCTAATATTGTGTTTGTGTACATGGTAAACACAAAAATACGTCCGCGAAAACTTCTTTTTTGTAGTACTATTAGCAGGGAATTATGTTCGGTGCGATCATTATAACGAGTTTAAATCTTGCACAATAGATCACCAGGAAGGCGTAAGCACTTTCTAAAAATGACAGTACGTGTAGACATAAAGAATTTAACGGAAATGTTGTCTAGCGGCCTGTCCAAGATCTGTTATGTCGAGCACGTTTGTATCTTAACGCACAACATACATAATATATACATATATAGCCTTCCTTCACACATTTTTCACACCAACTATTTTATTGATTACAAAATTGTAGGGATGATGCGCTGTGCTTATTTCGAGGACAAAACTTTCCTTGTATGTTTTTATCTTCAATTATTACATAATATACTTATATACTTTTCCCTCACACATAAATGACGCCGTACATGTGTTTATTTCGCGGACACAACTTTTCTAGTAATTTTGATGTACAAGATTAGCACTATAACTTTTCTTTTTGTTATCTACCTGCATATTACCTAATAGTCTACCTGTGGTCAATATACTACCTGTGGTCAATGTTGTCCTAACTATAATTATCGGCAATAATCGTACTGTGATAAAATTCCAGATCGATAGTGCAATTCTCGTGATGTGCTGAGAATCGCTTTCTCATGCGCGTATAGGAATTCCACCCCACATGCATTTTTATAGATGGGATTAATTTTAATAGCGATCATATTCAGTTGTCGATCATTTTGAATTAATCAATAATTCCTCGCCATTTATGCTGAAGACACTATTTTTCTATATATGTACATATGTATATACGATTCTCCGAAAGTATAATTGGAAACAGTCTTTACTTAAACAGGCAGTGTTGCATTTTTGTGATAAAATATACAGATATTTATCAAGACTACATTAGTTTACGACATTGATTTAAATACTTCGTCACCTGCAGAGTGTGGCTGGCTTTAGCAAACAAACTTGAAGTGATTCAATAAAGTAATATTGCTCAACATATCGACTTACTCTACATACCGCTCTACATTCGCTTTTATATATATGAAATGCTATACATACCATGAAAATTAGCTTATAAACTTGAATTGTTGAAAATTGTTGCGCTCCAGATAGATATAGCAAGTTATTGTAGTATCTGTACGCTTACTTCTATCGAAATATAAATGCGTATATTACGTATAATTGTATTAGAGTTGATGCAATGACGCCCTTATATAACAATATGGTATATATCTACTGGAAACCATTCTATACCAGTTGTTCATTCGAGGTAAGAGCGCATTGTGCATTTGGCTTGTTTGGGCTCTTGACACGCACCATGAAAAATTTTGAACGCTTTTCAAATAACTTTGAAATAAAGACAAAAAGAGATGCGCGAACGTTGTTTCCGAGAACAGTATTGGTTTAATTTGCTACATCTATAGATGTGCCTGCGTTACGTTAACGTAAAAATCCATGACTGTGTTGTGGTTTTCGAATTAAGTCGAGAATTACCGGTGAGAGTTCTTGATAATTGAAGTACTGCTACGTACA